TGCAAACCTTTTTTCCTACACAATTTAGGTGGGAGAAATTTTAAGGCTAGATAACGCGCCAAACTGTTGTTCTATGTTGAAGACTGTGTTCAAGAAACATGCCCAGCTAGCGATAGGAAGTCACAAAAATCTCGTTTTGCCAAAAAAATTAGATAGAAGATATTGCTAGCTCACCGTCGATTTATTTTTTAGTTTTTTGGGCAAAATATACATAAGGAGAAGACTTGCAAATTGCATTTTATTCATTTTTACCAATTTTGTATAATGTTATCAGATGTATGGACCTGCATCATAAGTTTTGGTAGAAGAAAGTCGAAAAACAACTTGAAAAAATTAAAAAAATTGTTGGACAAATTTAATTGTCTCTAGTGGACAAATTGCAACTTGAATGTCATCGTCAAATTAACAAAAATAGAAAATTGTGTTTTAAAAAAAGGTTTATATTGAAACATTATCATGAAACAAAACAAAGTTTGTAAGTATTATAATAATAGTAGTAAATGATTCTATTTTAAAATGAATTCATTATCATCATTCTCAGCGCATCCACATACTTCTCCGTCATTTTCGTGCTATTCATCTTCGTCATTATATATATATATATATATATATATACAGGGTGACTTGAGTTGAGTCATTAATTTTCAGATAATGATTGTAGAAGGAAGATAAACCAAAATATGTGTGTAAAAATAAAAAAAAAATGTTAACTTGTTTTATAAAGTATCCTCCCGACAAGTATTTCAGTGCAGACCTGTATTTGATCGTGCGGTCTTGGAGTACCGGCATGCCCTCCCCTGTGAGGTCTTAAGTCACCTGATTCACGAGCCCTTTGTACTACATTCAGCATTTTCGTAAACATGTGCCATTTTTTATTTCGTTTGAGCCACGCGACAAACACCACTATTCACTCACGCGTTACCGACTGACACATCGACTAAATACAACTGAATAAAATTGTACATTGTAGTAAAAACATCGTTTCAAATTCTTTCGCTTTTTTGTTTCCGATGCGATGAACGGATAAGGCGGATTATATCCGTTGTTGCCAAACACGAGCACATAATATTATTATTGAGACAGGGCGGTACTCAAACTTCTAAAGGGCTATAACTTTGTTACTTTAATTTTACCAGAAAAATGTTAAAGGAAAAAAACATTTCTTTTGATCAGATCTACTCACTGTTAAAATAAATGACTCAACTTCGAAGTCACCCTGTATATACAGGGTGGCCAAACACGTGACGTCATAAAAAAAAATTAGATTCCCCACATCGAGAGGAACCCAAATCACCCCCATATATATGGTCCGATTTTGTTTAGTTTAGGAGTTATGATTTTTTTTCGGATTTTTCGAGAATTTTTGAGTTCTGTGTTTATTTTTACCATAACTTCGTTAATAATTGTGATAAATGCCTGCTTTTTTCACGATTATGTAGCTAAGACCTAAGGCTTAACTATCATATAATCATTCAAGTCATGTAACTAATACTACTTTTTAATTTTTTTCAAAATCTTCGAACATAACAAAAAAGTAAAAAAGTGCAACAACTTTGAACGTTTATAAAAAATTGAAAAAACATGTTCTTACTATTCGTAAGTATCTTAAAAACTTCCTTACGGTATCAGCTATTTACCGTAAAAATTTCATCAACCTAGCTTTACTACATGCTACCGTAATTGTGGCTCAAATAGAACCGAACCCAAAATTGGATAACCCTCTGCTCAATAAAAATTGTTAGTTTCGGAAAAAAAATTTGCAAAAACCACAAAAACACGTTTGATTTTTACTGAACAGCAGATTATTATTCATTTATACTATTTACAAGAGGTTTTCAAAATGTCTGCCTCTAACAGAAATGCACAGTGTACACCTACGTATGAAATTTTGTTTTAAATCTCTAAATGCTTGTGTGTTGTTTTTCAACACATGTGTCGCTTCTTGAATTTTGTTCCTCAATGAATTTTCATTTGCACATTCTTGGGCGAATGTTATGTCTTTAAAATATCCCCAAACAAAAAAATCAATGGGGTTGAGGTCAGGGGAGCGTGGAGGCCATCGTATCGGTCCGTTTCGTCCGATCCATCTGTCTGGGAACCTTTCGTTTAAGTAGTTTCGCACGATCGTTGCGTTGTGGCATGGTGCACCATCATTCTGGAACACCATGTTCCGTCTGGCTTCCAGGCTTGAATCTTCCAGCAATAATGGTAGGCTATTTTCAAGGAAGCTTTTGTAGGCTACCGAATCCAACCTTGACGGCAGTTCAAATGGACCGATAAATTCCATATTGAATATTCCTGACCACATGTTCACACTAAAACGGTGTTGAAATGTCGACGGCCTTGACTGGTGGGGGTTTTCAACAGCCCAAGTATGTAAATTATGGATATTGAATATCCCTGTTCTTTCAAAACGTGACTGGTCAGTCCATAAAATTTTATCAAAAAAATCGGGATCCTCTCGTTGTCTTCGCAGCATTGTCTCGCAGAAATCCACTCTTAACTGGTAATCTGAAGGCATCAACGCTTGAACTCTTTGAACATGATAGGCATGATAACCTTCTTCATGAAGAATATTTTGTATCGATGTTCGTGGTATTCTAAGGTTTTGTGCCATAGATCTCGTACTCGTTGAGGGATTCCGGCTAATTTCTTCAAGTACTACTTCTCTGCGATCCGGATCAGCTGTAGGATATCCTTCATTGCTTCCTCGTCCTGGAATGCGGCCTGCCATGAAAGTGTTATGTGTGTTAATAAAAACACGGTGGTCTGGGTAATGCTCAGGTTGTGGTCCGCCTCGGCGTATAAGTTGTTCCCGGTACAGCTGAGCTGCTAAAGCGCCGTTGCCTTGAGCAACGCCATAATAATAATGCATTTCTGCATATAATGCTGCAATAATTTACATACTTGGGCTGTTGAAAACCCCCACCAGTCAAGGCCGTCGACATTTCAACACCGTTTTAGTGTGAACATGTGGTCAGGAATATTCAATATGGAATTTATCGGTCCATTTGAACTGCCGTCAAGGTTGGATTCGGTAGCCTACAAAAGCTTCCTTGAAAATAGCCTACCATTATTGCTGGAAGATTCAAGCCTGGAAGCCAGACGGAACATGGTGTTCCAGAATGATAATGCACCATGCCACAACGCAACGATCGTGCGAAACTACTTAAACGAAAGGTTCCCAGACAGATGGATCGGACGAAACGGACCGATACGATGGCCTCCACGCTCCCCTGACCTCAACCCCATTGATTTTTTTGTTTGGGGATATTTTAAAGACATAACATTCGCCCAAGAATGTGCAAATGAAAATTCATTGAGGAACAAAATTCAAGAAGCGACACATGTGTTGAAAAACAACACACAAGCATTTAGAGATTTAAAACAAAATTTCATACGTAGGTGTACACTGTGCATTTCTGTTAGAGGCAGACATTTTGAAAACCTCTTGTAAATAACATAAATGAATAATAATCTGCTGTTCAGTAAAAATCAAACGTGTTTTTGTGGTTTTTGCAAATTTTGGGTTCGGTTCTATTTGAGCCACAATTACGGTAGTAAAGCTATGTTGATGAAATTTTACGGTAAATAGCTGATACCGTAAGGACGTTTTTAAGATACTTACGAATAGTAAGAACATGTTTTTTCAATTTTTTATAAACGTTCAAAGTTGTTGCACGTTTTTACTTTTTTGTTATGTTCGAAGATTTTGAAAAAAATTAAAAAGTAGTATTAGTTACATGACTTGAATGATTATATGATAGTTAAGCCTTAGGTCTTAGCTACATAATCGTGAAAAAAGCAGGCATTTATCACAATTATTAACGAAGTTATGGTAAAAATAAACACAGAACTCAAAAATTCTCGAAAAATCCGAAAAAAAATCATAACTCCTGAACTAAACAAAATCGGACCATATATATGGGGGTGATTTGGGTTCCTCTCGATGTGGGGAATCTAATTTTTTTTTTATGACGTCACGTGTTTGGCCACCCTGTATATATATATATATATATATATATATATATATATATATTCACCAATGACCAATCAGTTCCAAATTTTCTGATTTAAGCTATTTGTAAAGTTCCCAATATTTTTCAGGTGCTTTTATGACCGCGTGTCGTTTTAAAACCTTTTCCACCCTCCCAAAAATTCTATCTGCCGGAAGATAGAAGTGTCCTCGCACTGGGAAGATAACTTCTATTTTTTTTAATCGTTTCTGGAGCAAAGCTGTATAACCATAACATTAGCAAACAACCTTGCATCTTGTGGACGGTCGAAGCCCAACTCAGGATTAATGGCAGCATTGAACATGAACAAGGTGAGAATGCACTTCCTTGAAAAAGTATCTGCCTCCGTTGTGCTATGTCGAGTCCCTTCACCAACAAAGAGTAAGTCCCAAACTAGACGTATGCGCAGATCGCGCGCCAGCTCTATGTCTCTGACTCCCCTATAGAGGATCTATAAAACCATTCATCAATCCTGGCGATCCTAATAAGAATAATGGGAAACTGTTATGAAATTATTGCATTGTCGTCGGTCTTCGATACGTGTGCGAAGTTACAAATTAATCAAACTTCTGGAAATTGGTGAAAATTATTTTTCAAGTTAAACCAAGTGATTTATAATGTATTTCTTGATTTATTATGGAAATTAGGAGCCCATCTTACATAAACCGTATCATTATTCCTTAGTTTGAGATATTTTACAAGACATTGACCGTTCATTAGATACGCCTTCTCATTGGTTGAATTTGTGACCCACACGCTTTTTTGAGCCCCGGCTTAGTGAAATCAGGTCTATATTTTTTTGGAATATCTCCTTTTCAATAAAAGTGCAATTTGATAGAGAATAGCTTTTCAACAAGTTCTTGGGGCAGGGACGTACTCACAAAAAGATGTCTCTTGCTGGTGATCGACACGCTGAGAAAAGTTTCTGCGGGCGCTCATGGCTGTATTAGTTAGATATAAAAATATAACATATATTGAACATACCAGCGGCCCATTGTATGTGTCGGAGTCTCATCCAACTCATCCAGAGAGCATTGTAGGTCGATGTTATAGTGACGTTAGAACCAGACGGTAACGATATAATAGGTGCTCTCTCATTATCTCCATCTCTCACCTAAAAAAATGTCCAGGTTAACTCTCCCTTTCAACGTAACGTTAACATCAGTTCATAAAAGATTGTTTGGCCTAAATTGGCACATTTTAGAAGCAAGTTAACAAAGGAATTGTTGTCAAACAGGCACATACAATAGTCCACAACACCAGGCCATGCTTTTTTTTTCGTTTACAAATCTGCTTCATCCTTGGCATATTGATAATATTGTGTCAAAATTTCATCAAAAGCTGAGCGGTATTTTTCAAGTTATAGAGGGGTCAAGGATTAGCGGACAGACAGACCGACAGAAATAACCAACATGGTTTTCCGTCATCCAAAAAACATATCTCATTCTCAGAATATTTCGCCAGTGGCGTGGGTAGTAAAAACACTGAAGTCACTTTTACACAGCTCGGATTTCATAGAAGGTGTGAATGGCAACATTGCAAGCAAACACCACTGGTCAAGCGGCATTAAATCAATGTTGCCATTTACACTTTCTGTATGTCCAGTGAGATATTCGTAAAAATTTACGGAACCGTTACAGTTCTTATAAACGTAGGTCTGGAAAGTTCCATGATACAGGATGTTTCAGCTAATCCGGCTCTGATATGGCACGAAAACAGATTGAGATACTGAGATGACTTTTGATACAAGCAATCTATCGTCAAAGGTAGGATTATTAAATACCGAATCGTTTTCTAAAGCACTTAGTGTTTGTCCCTGGCTTTCACAAAAAAGATTCGATCTAAAAATCATTTTATTAGCCAGTATACCAATCTATCGTTTTTAAAGAAACATTAATCGAGCTGGCACTCTTTATAACGAACATAACTTCAAACATGTGTGACACTTTTTAAGCAGTCGTTATGGCTATGAGAAGACGATACCTGTTCTCGTAAAAACTGGTAATGCACAATATCAAACGCAGACAGGTTTAAACATCTCGTATCATGACCCTTGTTTATATGAACCTTTTTGATATATTTGCGTACTACCCTCAAATTTTCATGTCACCTTGTATATTTTACTGATACAAGCCCACTACCTCAATAACAAGGTGCTGAACGTACAGGGGATATCGCATCCATACAGTTATTCTTGCTTCTATAACTTCTCCAGGAGGTCTTTCTATTATATAGGCAGTACCAGGTCTCTCGATTGAGAAAGCCCCTCGGGGTGCAGTGTATCTCACTACAACATCTGCAAATATAATAGAATAAAATGCATCTATAATTCTTAATATTTCCGAAACGGAACACAAATTGTCCGAGAGACAGGCGTCAAGTGACTATTTGCTGAAATGTTTATTGATTTACTGTTTTCTAACCCTAAGACTTCCTATTCTCATAATTTCTCAACGACGGACAAAGGTTATTGCGGGTTCTATTGAAGATAATTAAATAAAATATATTGAATATTTTATTCATACATACATATACAGGTTATTGAACATTTCAGGAAGCCCCGCCATTGATAGTTTTTCCCAGCTATCCTAGGATTTGGCCTTAACCACGACATTCAAAGTCAACTCGATTTTTTTAACTGGAACCCCCCATTTTGACCCCGTAAATGAAAAGAGCGGAAAATCTTACGTTCGAATATTATCTTGATAATTCTTAAATTTTGACCTAAATGGTCATGGTCAAGGTGAAACCCAGGTAACGTATGGGGAAACCACCGCGACGTAATTTTCATGGTTTTCCCAGGATATTGGTCATGACCTTCAATGAAAGGAAATAGGGCACAGAAAAATGTTATGTTCTAATATGTCCTTGGCAATTTTTGTAACTTGGCCTTGTTCAAGGTCAAACACTTAATTTCTTGATAATTCAGAAAATTGTGTAATTCCCAGATAAACCGACTTCATAGCCAGAAATTAATCCTGAAATTATTTCCTCGCTACAAAAATCGACTTGACCTTCACATGACGTTGGAAGGTCACCATGGTTTAGGTCAGAACCAAGGTCACCAATGGATATCCGGGGAAAAATGACGACTACTGGTTTTCAAGATATATAACCGTACCTGAATTTGACCTTGACCATGACCTCCTAACGTGAAAATTTAAGAATGGCCAAGACCATATCTGAAAGCAAAATGGTCCGCATTTACGGAGTCAAAAATGGGGGTTTCACTAAAAAAAACTCGACCTTCAAATGACTTTGAGGTCATGGTCAAGCTCAAATCCAAGGTCATCATTGGATAGCCGTGGAAACCTTTCAATTGTGGGCTGAGCTTTTTCATACCATTATTAGTTCACAAAATTATCGTGGAGTCCGGAACTTTTCAGACATCCTGTATATGATCTCTTATAGGGGTTATTCTACATGGAAGGTAAATTAAGAAAGCACATTTTATAAAAATTATAATATAAAATTTTATTGTAAATTCAAAAGCTAAAACTTTTTGCACTTGGTTTTAGATGTTTGCTTCTGAGTGTGTAATAAAATGTATTCGATAATCCAACTCATTATTCAATTTTGTTTCCAAATTTTATTTAGGATTAAGTATCCAGAAAAAATAGCTTTGAGACTAAGTCATGTTTCAATAAAAACTCCATAAATGTTTAGTGGTCCGAAGTACCTTGGAGGGGATCCGATATATCACAGTTAAAAAATAAATATGATTAATAACGCGGTGTTAAAAACAATTATTGAAATCTGTCCCCTCTAAGGAACTTTGGGAATTGGAGGGTCAATCGGGTTAGGTTATATTTTGGTGGAAATGTTGACCAATGATAATACAGAGGGTGTCAGAGAAGCTTGACAATGTTTCTGGGACACAAAAGTACAAGGCGTTATAATTTGGAAATGGTAAAATGTATCTTCAAAATGTTTCACATGTAGTACTGATATAGCCAGTACACACAAAGACCATACCAGTGGCGTAGAATATTGATCCGTACAGAAGACAAAAGGCCATCTGTATCATGGAAATGTAGCATTTCAGGAGCTTCTTTTGCTATTTTTGGATGAAACTCTATGTTGTAGTCTCGAAATATTGCCCTGTATTTCTGAAATACCTTATATATTTTCATACCTCTTTTGTAATGAATTTTCCACTTTATCGAATCTGTGAGCTGTGTGATAATAAACAGCTGGTTTCCAGTAGACACGTATTCGTCAGGTGCCGAAGCTCCACAAAAACGACCTACTAGCGGAGATTCTTTAGTTGGTCCGTCATAAAGCTGAAACATAACATCTTTATACATTATGGAAATCTTTGGAAAAAAATGTAGTCAAATAGGTTAACTCTGCACTTCTCAGGCAACGCCGTCAGCAGGTCATAAAGGATTAAGTTCGGCACAATTTAAATCCTCTGAGAAAAAAATTGTTACGAACATGTACAATATGCAGTTACCGTCCATTTTTCAGCGTTGCCTATTCTCTATCATTCTAAGTTTTAATGACAAATGCATGGGGAAACCTATGATGTATGAAATATGGCTAATTGGTACGTAGAATTACCGGGGCTGGGCTAAGTATCCTAATATAAAAAAATGAGACATGCTCTTCCCTACCCTCTACCCCATAATTTTTTACCCCTAAACTTCAAAAAAAGATTGGATCATTTTTATTTTATTTTTTTCGTTTTTGGCCTTTTTTCCGCCGCCACGAAAGCGATTTTAAAACACTACAAAGCTTTTTCGTCCTTGGCGTAGTAGTAACCTTGGGCAAAAATTTCCATCCAAATTCGATCAGCAATTTTCAAGTTATAGACTGGCCAAGGATAAGCGGACAGACAGACCGACAGACATACAGACGAAAATGAGTGACATATTTTTTCGTGATATATGTAAATTTTTGTTAGAAATTAAAATGTATATAAAAAATAAATAACAGTTTATTTGCGTCAGTAAAATTAAATTTTAAAGAACTTTAGATTTAGGAATAGAATTTAATATTAACAAAATTTATGCCGGCAGTTGCGATTATACAAATAATATAAATCATTTTTCTTAGTTCGAGTTGGTTTTTAAAAAATAATTCTTGTAATAAAATTTATTAGGTGAAATTTTAAATTTTATATCAAATTTAGATTGAAAATGAAGCTTAGAGATTTGAATTTGAACAAGGATTGGATATCCTATTATTAAAGATGTTAATTTTAGTATTAGTTATGTTCTTGAAAATTTAAATATTTGATGGTATTTTAGTCTTTTCAGAGAAACCTGTTCTATAATTGATAATCCACGTTTAGATGAACTTTATTTATTAGTTTGCATATCGTCGTAGTTTGAATATTTTAATAGAATAATAATATTTGAAAATTTTTATTGAAAAATAAATCAAATCAAGGTCTAGTATATAATAAAGTAGAAATGAGTTACTGTAAATTTATTTGAGGATAAATCTTATTAAATTAAATTTGGATTTGGGAGTACTTTTGTTTAATTTTTTTAAGATGATTAAAGCTTTTGTTGTATAAATATTATGAATATATTTTTAGTAATGAAGTTTTTTTTTATATCGAACCAGCCGCGCCCAAAGAAATTTTGTTAATACGATTTTTAAACTGTCTAAGGTTAGTAGAACTGGGAAAGGCTTCCTCTTGTAGATTGTTCCACAATCTCGACACCCTCGGGACAAAGGAGCGGTCGTATCGGCCGGTTCTGGATGTACGAAGTTCGACATGGTTAGGATGGGACGCCAAAGTCAGGCGGGTCTGTCTGGCAGGCACATCGCGCGACGGCATCATGAAAGAGAGCTCTGAGGAGCAAAGCCCGTTGGTGTAACGGTAGAAAAGAGCCAGATCGCCAACAGCCTGCCGGTGCGAAAGAGTCCCGAGACTGTCTGTTAGAGAAGAGTCATCGATCAGTCGGACCGCCCTCCTCTGGACAGCATCGAGCATGGATAATGTAGTCGGGGCGGCAACACCCCAAACGTGGGAGCAATACTCGAGGCTAGGCCTTATCTGGGCCTTGTATAGAAATGAATGGCTCTTTGGCAGAACTCACCATCCATCGAAACCGGGTCAGCGCAGGGACGCTTTTTGTTCGTCAAAGTACAGTACTGCGTTTTGGAAGCATTGGACTGTACAAGATTGTTGCGTCCCCAAGCAGTGATAGCCTCCAGGTCTCTTGTCAGAGAGGAAATCATCGCTAGTCTTCTTTTTTCCAACTCAGCGGCAGAGATCGGCTTGTCACTCTGAATTCCTGCATATAGAGTGCTGTCATCAGCGAAGCTGTGGATTGGGTTGATCGTGCAGGAAAAGAGGTCGTTGGATATGTAAGAGAAACAGTGTCGGAGCCAAGGCCGATCCCTGGGGAACACCCGAGTTGACGTTGTGGGATGAAGAGGAGAACCCGTCAATTACGACGGATACCTTGCGGCCAGAGATAAAGTCAGCCACCCATCTGCAAAGCTTTTCTGGGAGGCCATAGATTGGAAGTTTGCTTAAGAGGGCAGCGTGCCACGCTTTCGTGATGTCACGAGCAACGACATGAGCCTCACCATAAGACTGGATGAGTTTACTCCACAATTTAGTGACGTAAGCTAGGAGGTCCCCTGTGGATCGTTGGTGCCGGATACCATACTGCCTGTCGCTAATCAAGCCGTGACGTTCGAGGTAGTCCAGAAGCTCGCGATTTATGTACCTCTCCATCACCTTACTTAAAACAGAAAGCAGAGCTATAGTCCTGTAGTTGTAAGGGTCGGTCTTAGATCCCTTTTTTGGGATGGGTTGGACATGAGCAAATTTCCAGTGTTCTGGGAAGGTGCCGGATTCATAAGATATCTGGAAGAGACGCGAAAGAACTGGAGCAAGCTCCGGTGCACACCTCTTCAGTAAAATGGCAGGAATCAAGTCCGGACCAGAAGCTTTGTTGATGTCGAGCGACAAGAGCACTCGTCTTACGGTCTTATGCCTGAATGTTACCTTCCGCATAGTGTAGAGAACAGTTTGAATTGACGGCACTTGGGCGTTGGGGGGGACGTCCATGGCGGAGTTGGCAGTTGGATCTTGGCTAGCACTTCCGCCTTGGCCTTTGAGTTGAATACAATAGTTCCATCCTGACACGTAAATGGTGGAAGGCTACTGTGTGAGAAGTTCTTTTCAATCTGCCTGGCCAGCATCCAGAAAGACCGACTGCCATTGCGCTGCGACATTGCCCTGTGCCTAACTTTTATATCGTGCTGGTTTTTGGCATTGCGAACCGCTGCTTTATATTTGTTTCTGGACTCAACGTCGGCTTGTCTGTTCTCTACAGTGGGGTTTTGTAAGAATGTTCTGTGTGCCTTGATCTTCTGCTGGCGAACAGCGTCACACGATTTATTAAACCAGCCGTTGGACCCTGGCACTTTCACTGTGTGAGGGATGTATTCCTCCATTCCGACGTGGATAATTTCGGATATCGAAAAACAGACAGCCGACGCATCCGCGTCGGTGAAAACAGACATTTTTCCAAGGAAAGCTAGAGAAGAAATCTCTGAGTTCCTCCCAGTCGGCATGTCCGTAATGCCAAGTTTTGCGGCCTGTACGAGTTTCTGATGCCACAGCGGGTTCTGACCGAAACCTAACCTCCACAACACTGTGGTCTGAGTTACCCAGGGGGGACAGGACAGCAGTGCTGTAAGGGACAGGATGCGTGGTCAGAAAAACATCCAGCAGGCTACTGGCGTGTGACGAGACGCGGGGAAAAAAAGTAGGGCTCGTCACCAGCTGAGTCAGCCCTTGGGTAAGAGCGAACGCGTCGACTGCACGACCTGCTGCGTCGGTCTTGTTTGAGCCCAACGAGAGCTCATTATGGGCATTGAAATCACCTTTGAAGCGGGATGATTGATGTTCAGGAAGTCGATCTGCACGGCGAGGTATTCGAGTAGGTCATTCCAGTTATGGTCCGAGGGAGAGCGATAAAGGCAGCAAATAAATTTGGGTGATGTTTTGGAGTTGAGGCGAAGCGACAGAATGTTCTTCCGGTCTGATTCCAAAGAAACATCTCTGGAGCAGGAAAGACTGCTGCGGACAAAAGCCACAACTCTCCCGTTCTTTCTCAGATTGGAGTACACCTCGTAGTTTGGGAAGTTAAGATGGTTAATCGGTGCAGACTCTGAGATTTTTGTCTCCGCCCAGAAAAGTACGGCGGGACGATTGGATTGCAGGTAGTGATGAACAGCATCAATGTTACCGTTAATCCCGCAGATGTTCGAAAAACAAATTTTATCTTCGATGTTGTTCCCTCGAGCCCACCCTCCATCCGGACATTCCGAGAGTGGGGTGAGTTTACGTCCGGAGTTCTTAGTGCTCGAGGGATCCGTCATCATTAATTTCTTTGTTTTGGAGGATTACCGACTGCATAGCTTAGGTGTGGAAACATGGGGACATTTATGAGACACCCTGGGAAAAGCTAGCGGGTGGTACTGCCTCGGTCGACTGGTCCTTGAATACCACCTTCTTTTTACGTAATAGTGATGTTAAATAGACCTAAAGTGGCCCGTTGGCAGACTTGTACCGCCACCCGGCAATCGGTATTGAAGTATTCCTTAACGCGTGGAGAATCACTTGAACGGGAAGAAGTTGTATACTGGATACAACAACATCCGGAACAAGCATTTGCCACGGCCCCACTCAGTAGGGTAGCATACTATAAGTGAAATATAAATTGATGAAAATTGAATTTAATAATCTTCCATTAATTATAATTAATATCATTGGGGATAAACTTGATAGTATAATTTTATTATATAATGTGATTTTATTTAATTTGTAAGATTAAAACCTTCAATCATACGAAAAATGTTATAGTTTATTTCTAAATTTGAAAATATATATATAAATATTTATAAATTTTGTATTAAAACAATAATCTAAATATAGACAATTAGGTAATAATGATAAAATTAGTATGATTTAATGTAAATTTATTTTAAAATTTAAGATTAATTAAAGGAATTCGGCAGAATTATTTTTTAAAAGCATATACGCTTAAGTTATGTTGTTGGGACCAAACCGGCGCTAACGATCTTAACAAGACACACACCTGTACATCGAACATCATAAGGAGGACCACTAACACCCTTTTTCATGGGTGGCAAATAAACATTATTAAATTATTTGTGGTAACGCCCACCACCGTGATTTTAAACAAAATAAAATAACCAAACCCTTGTAACCAAATGAAAAAAATCTGAATTCAGTCTCAATGTACCTCAATTTTGTGAGCACTGCAGTCATTAAGATCAGTAACTTCAAAGTTGGGAAATGTTATTCGAATCCTTGAGTGTAAAGGTTGCTCGATCCTGAAATCACAAGGTGTCTCATTCTCAGTTACAGCGACGTTTATGTCTCCACTTGCAGCCGTAATCACCCCACCACATCCAGGGAAACCTGAAATAATCAACATTATAAAGTAGATTCACTCAAGGCATATCACATTTCCTTTTTATATCATCGTATTCTAGCTTAACGCAAGGGTGGATCCAGCATTTGTGTTGGGGGGGTGGGGGTCAGTAGATTCATGTTCAGGAAAACGTTCCTTTCCAGGGCGAAGGGGAATCTAAGTTGGTGGAGGCACCCAAGTCTTGTAACATACCTCTCGTTAGATCATTTATGCTTTTCCCAACACATCAGCCAATGTCTGAGGAAAATTTAGATAGTGAAAGCGACTTAATGTCGGAATTTTCAATTAACTACCTCAATCACAGAACACATCGATACGATTAATTGATCAGGGTTGCGAGGTGTGGTGATTTTTCACCAAATCTGGCGGTTTGTCAAAGAAATTCGAAAGTCATAAACACTCGGGGTCAAACTAGATTCGCCCACCGGGGGGTCACGACCCCGATGACCCTCCCCCGGGATCCGCGCTAGGCTTAACGTGATCAACAAAGTCTAGAAGTATACTGAGTGACAAAAAAATATAAACACCTACGTATGTTTATTAGAATTCAACAATTTTTCACATATCGATTTGTCTTGCCATGAACAACAAGTCGTAAGATGGTCAGGTTTTCTGTTAAGTTTTTGTGGTGGCTGCGTGTATTGTTTGGTAATAAAGAAGCATTCAGTTTTCGTACATTTACGGTGTCAGTTAAATGTTAAATTTCATGTAGCACAGCAAGCGAGAGGTATTTGGATGCCTCAGAGGGACCACAGAGCGACACAACCGCCGGTCAAGACTTCTGGCTCTGAGAGACAGATTTAGTAGTACCCGAGCCATCGCTAATCAGTGGTTTGAAGAGTATGGAATGATGGTTGGTATGCCTATGGTATACCGCCAAATACGACAGTTTGGCCTTTTTTCTTATCGCCCACATTTGGTGCTGCCTCTCGCAGCTGAACATCGGCGTAACCGTTTGCTCTGGTGTAGAGAAAGAATTCTATGGGACCGGAAATGAAATCAAGTGGTCTTTAGTGAGGAATCTCGCTTCTGTCTGGGGATGTACGATGGTCGGGCAAGACTGAGAAGATGACATGGTGAAAGACGTGGCCCACAATTTGACAGAGAGCGTCACGTTCACCACACCGTGGGAGTTATGGTATGGGGTGCTATTGCTTATGGTATTTCCATCAGAGGCAATATGACAGCCTGAGGGTATATTCAGGAAGTAGTAGAGCCTCATTTTATTCCATACCTAAACACCATCCAAAAACCGATTTTTCAGCAAGACAATGCCAGACCGCATGGTGCCAGAGCATCGTTAGCCTTCATGGATCAGCATCGCATCAACCGTTTACCTTGGCCACCACGGTCCATATCTATCTCCAATTGAACATGTCTGGGACATGATAGGTCGCACGCTCTGGAATTTTCAACACCCTCCACAGACTTTAGCAGCTCGTCCTCACGAAGTTGTAGTAGTCCGGAATGAGATGAACAGGCGGGTCAATGAGTGTATAAGAAATCGTGGATCCTCAACACATTATTGAATCAGCTTCTGCAGTCAGTTAACGAATCAAGCTGAAAATTTAATCATTTCACTAGTAAGGGAGGTGTTTACTTTTTTTTCACTCAGTATGTATAGCATGTTTTCTTCCTACGCTTCTCATACATGTAAAATTCTGAGTCAGTCTACCTGACATTATTTTTCGTTTATTCCAGAACATTCTTTTTAATCAATATTTATTCTGAAACTTGAAATATTTGCGTAAACGGTTTTTTGAAGCTTATAGCTATAGCCCATTCCTTATTATGTTCAACTTTAATAACTTCAGAAAAGGTACGAGCTTAAGACACATACCAGCATGGTTTCGTGATTTCTTTGGCCATTGATAAGAACTTTCCGCAAGACTACTTTTTATACATATATATATATATATATATATATATATATGTATGTATATATATATATATATATATATACAGGGTGACTTCGAAGTTGAGTCATTTATTTTAACAGTGAGTAGATCTGATCAAAAGAAATGTTTTTTTCTTTTACCATTTTTCTGGTAAAATTAAAGTAACAAAGTTATAGCCCTTTGGAAGTTTGAGTACCGCCCTGCCTATTATATGCTCGTGTTTGGCGACAACGGATATAATCCGCTGACCGGTTCATCGCATCGGAAACAAAAAAGCGAAAGAATTTGAAACTTTTATCACGATGTTTTCGTCAGTCGATAAAACGTGAGTGAATAGTAGTGTGTTGCGTGGCTCAAACGAAATCAAAAATGGCACATGTTTACGAAAATGCTGAACTTGTGGACATGATTCTTATTTACGGGGGGGCAGTCTTTACAAAATGCTCCCGGATGCATCACGGATTTATGCGAATCGGTTTCCCAATCGAGTGCAACCAACCCCTCGTGCCTTTGTTAATGTATTGCAAAGGGCTCGTGAATCAGGTGACTTAAGACCTCACAGGTGAAGGCATGCTGCTCCAAGACCGCGCGATCAAATACAGGTCCGCACTGAAATACTTGTCGGGAGGATACTTTATTAATCAAGGTAACATTTTTTTTTTATTTTTTTTTTATTTTTACACACATATTTTGGTTTATCTTCCTTCTACAATCATTATCTGAAAATTAATGACTCAACTTCAAAGTCACCCTGTATATATATATATATCACAGCAGCCGCGCAGGCATAAGCCTAAATGCCGGAACACCGCGGCTGCTATGATGATCCCAAAAAAATGTTGTTAATACGATTTTTGAAATGCCTAAGGTTAGTAGAACTGGGAAAAGCTTCCTTTTGTAGATTGTTTCACAATCTCGACACCCTCGGGACAAAGGAGCGATTGTATCGGCCAGTTCTGGATGTATGAAGTTCGACACGGTTAGGATAGGACGCCAAAGTCACGTCGCGCGGCGGCATCATGGAAGAGAGCTCTGAGGAGCAAAGCTCGTTGGTGTAGCGATAGAAAAGAGCTAGATCGCCGACGGCCCGCCGGTGCGAAGGAGTCCCGAGACTGTCTGAGAAGAGTCATCGATCAGTCGGACCGCTCTCCTCTGGACAGCATCGAACATGGATAATGTAGTCGGGGCGGCAGCACCACAAACGTGTGAGCAATACTCGAGGCTAGGCCTTATCTGGACCTTGTACAGAGTGAGAAGGTCATGCAGAGAATGTACTTCTGAGCCCTAAACAAATAGCATAGCTTTTTCCCAGCAGCTGCAGCTATTGACGAGATGTGTTCGTGCCAGATCAGGTCCCCGGTAATCTGGACTCCGACCAGCCGAAATGAATGGCTCTTTGGCAGATCTCGGCAGTCCATCGAAAATGGATGAAGGCTAGGACGCTTTTTGTTCGTCAAAGTACAGTACTGTGTTTTGGAAGCTTTGAACTGTACAAGACTGTTGCGTCCCCAAGCAGTGATAGCCTCCAGGTCTCTTGTCAGAGAGGAAGTCGTCGCTAGGCTTGTTTTTTCCAGCTCAGCGGCAGAGATCGGCTTGTCACTCTGAATTCTGGCATGTAGCGTGCTGGCATCAGCGAAGCTATGGATTGGGTTGATCGTGCAGGAAAGGAGGTCGTTGATATGTAAGAGAAACAGTGTTGGATCCAAGACCGATCCCTGGGGAACACCCGCGTTGACGTTGAGAGATACAGAGGAGAACCCGTCAATTACGACGGATATCTTGCGGCCAGAGATAAAGTCAGCCACCCATCTGCAAAGCTTTTCTGGGAGGCCATAGGATGGAAGTTTGCTTAAGAGGGCAGCGTGCCACAGCTGATCACATGCTTTCGTGATGTCAAGAGCAACGACATGAGCCTCACCATAAAACTGGATGAGTTTACTCCACAATTGCGTGACGTAAGCTAGGAGGTCCCTTGCGGATCGTTGGTGCCGCAAACCATACTGCCTGTCGCTAATCAAGCTGTGACGTTCGAGGTAGTCCAGAAGCTCGCGATGTACCTGTATGCACCTCTCCATCACCTTACTTATAACAGATAGCACAGCTATAGGCCTGTAGTTGTAAGGGTCGGTCTTAGATCCTTTTTTTGGGATGGGTTGGACATGAGCAAATTTCCAGTTTTCTGGGAAGGTGCCGGATTTATAAGATATCTGGAAGAGACGCGAAAGAACTGGAGCAAGCTCCGCTACACACCTCTTCAGTACAATGGCAGGAATCAAGTCCGGACCAGAAGCTTTCTTGATGTCGAGATACAAGAGCACTCGTGTTACGGTCTTATGCCTGAATGTTACCTCCCGGATAGTGTAGGGAACCCTTTGAATTGAAGGCACTTGGGCGTTGGGGGGGACGTCCATGGTGGAGTTGGCAGCAAAGATCTTGGCTAGCACTTCCGCCTTGGCCTTTGAGTCGAATACAATAGTTCCATCCTGACACGTAAGTGGTGGAAGGATACTGTGTGAGAAGTTCTTTTTAATCTGCTTGGCCAGCGTCCAGAAAGACCGACTGCCGTTGCGCTTCCTCCATTCCGACGTAGATAATTTCTGTTATCGAAGAACAGACAGCCGACGCATCCACGTCAGTGAAACAGACATATCTCCAAAGAAAGCTAGAGAAGAATTCACTGAGCCTCTCCCAGTCGGCATGTCCGTAATGCCAAGTTTTGCGGCCTGTACGAGGTTCTGCTGCCACAGCGGGTTCTGGCCGAAACCTAACATCCACAACACCGTGGTCTGAGTTACCCAGGGCGAACAGGACAGCAGTGCTGTAAGGGACAGAATGCGTGGTCAGAAAGAGATCCATCAGGCTACTGGCGTGTGGCGAGACACGGGGGAAAAAAGTAGGGCTCGTCACCAGATGGGTCAGCCCTTGAGTAAGAGCGAACGCTTTGCCTGCACGACCTGCTGCATCGGTCTTATTTGAGCCCACCCAAAGCTCATTATGGGCATTGAAATCACCAAGAAGAGCTACATCTGAAGCTGGGTGATTGATGTTCAGGAAGTCGATCTGGACAGCGAAGTATTTGGGTAGAAAAATCTCTGGAGCAGGAAAGACTGCTGCGGACCAAAGCCACAACTCCCCCGTTCTTTCTCAGATTGGAGTAGTTTGGGAAGTTGAGATGGTTAACCGGTGCAGACTCTGAGATTTTTGCCTCCGCCAAGAAATGCACGGCGGGACGATTGGATTGCAGGTAGTGATGAACAGCATCAATGTTGCCGTTAGTCCCGCAGATGTTCGAAAAACAAATTTTATCTTCGATGTTGTTCCCTCGAGCCCACCCTCCACCCGGACATTCCAAGAGTGGAGTGAGTTTACGTCGGGAGTTCTTAGTGCTTGAGGGATCCATCATCATTAATTTCTTTGTGTTGGAAGATAACCGACTGCATAGCTTAAGTGTGGAAACATGCAGACATTTATAAGACACCTTGGGAAAAGCTAGCGGGTGGTACCGCCTCGGTCGACTGGTCCTTGTCTACCACCTTTTTACGTGCTAATGATATTGAATAGACCTAAAGTGGCCCGTTGGCGGACTTGTACCGCCACCCGGCAATCGGTACTGAGGTATTCCTTAACGCGTGTTCAATCACTTGAACGGGAAGAAGTTGTACACTGGATACAACAACTTCCGGAACAAGCATTTGCCACGGCCCCGCTTAGTAGGGGTGACACTTGTCTTTTTAAGTGTCTAAATTTAACTCAAAACCTTCCCCTACAAGACCCTAAAGAACATTACTTTACTTCATTTTAAACGTTCTTTTAACCTTGTTTGCTAGACCAAAACTGGCGCACTTTTGATTTCACAGACTGTACGTACAAGAACATACCAAGTCCGTCCTAAGCATGTACCTCCGAGGTACTTGATATGGATGTCGCAATGATATCCTAAAGACGTTGTGTATTTCTAGGGATAGTATTAATATTACACCCGCAGAAATCTACAATTTTCAAAGAGTCATTAAAACTTAGACCTTACCGGGCACTGTAGAATACGATAGAATGAATCCAGGATGAGAGTCCTTTCCATTTGATGAGAAATGTACTGTAGCAAAAGCTCCTGGACTATAAAACGCTTCTGGCAACGAACTATTGCAGATTTTTTTTATTAGACTATGTGGGTTTGATGTTGCTTCACCATAAACCTAAAAAAAGTGGTATATTAGTATTAAAATCATTTTTGAGTTTATTGCACAACTTCTTTCTTATATACCTGTATACTTGATTTTGTAATAATTACGTTGCACCAATTTTTCAGAAATTTTGAGTATTTGATAGTTTAACTGTAACCCTAATAATTTGCTTTGTAAGTATACATTAAATATTTTATATACGTATATATTCATCTCACCTCAATATAATCTCCAGTACAATCCGAGTCATTTCCTATTTGCAACGAGAAAAATTTGAATTCTAGACGCTTGTCCAACTGTGATAAAGATATCTTCCAGTAACATTCACTGAAATGATAAGCAATGTTGTGATCACAAACATTTTAAATCCAGAGTTTTGTCTGTTTATGCAAGGGGTTCAAAAGGTGAAGTCTAAGGCAAAAAACGCTTCTGTTTTTTATACGGAAGCAGCCGCGTAGGCAGAAACCTAAATGCCAGGACACCAAGAAATTTTGTTAATCCGATTTTTGAACTGCCTGAGGTTAGTAGAACTGGGAAAAGCTTCCTCTAGGGACAAAAGAGCGGTCATATCGGCCAGTTCCGGATGTACGAAGTTCGACACGGTTATGATGAAAGGCCAAAGTCACACGGGTCTGTCTGGCAGGCAGCATAAGTAGATAAATGATGTCAGACTTTTTAAACAATTGATTTTCGTGAAACTCTTGATAATGTCTCAGTCAGTTTTTTGTTGAAAGTTGTTAAAGCTCCTCGCGCATAGATGTAACAACAACAAAACGCGGCAATAAAACCTAATCTCCAAATGGGAAAGATTTAAATCCGGCGATCAAGATGGCCCGTGATCCTTTGTGGTTCCAATAAAGCATTTTTCTTGACTAATCCTACTTAAAATGAGCAGTAATACGGTTGGCCCTGCTAAACTTGACACATCTTAACAGAATCGCAAAAGGAGTATTACGATTTTGCAAAAAAAAGGTCGACACCATATACTTTAAAAACGTATCATTAGTGGTTCTATATCTATCTGAACTTCCTAGGAATCACCCCTTATGGTGCTTTCTCTGAAAAAAGTATACTGATTCTTAGTAGTATATTCAATACCGGTTGACTGGATATTTTGCTGGAAACCCTGGAGACTGTATCAGTCCTTTGGTAACATTTACTAATTCACCTCCACATTCTGAAACAAAACAGAAAATAACTTACAACTCCAAAAGAAGCTCTGGAACTCTCAACATCCAAAACCCGAACATTTTGTCTTATACATTTATGATGCTTACCTGGTGCCGCAGATTCGTAAGAAAGTTCGAAACTGCTAGTTCCTACGTTTGCAGACCGAAACCACAAGTAAATAGCGTTATGGGTACTAGAAATGGTGCTTCCATTGGCGAAATGTTTCCCACAAAATCGACCTACGGTAGGAGAGGCAGAATTGTGACCATCGTGTATCTGAAAAAAAGCAATAATTAATGGAATTATACGTCTAGGAAGAGCATACTGGGGCCATTTTGAATGCGTAGGATGTTATCGGATATACAGGGTGACTTCGAAGTTGAGTCATTTATTTTAACAGTGAGTAGATCTGATCAAAAGAAATGTTTTTTTCCTTTACCATTTTTCTGGTAAAATTAAAGTAACAAAGTTATAGCCCTTTGGAAGTTTGAGTACCGCCCTGTCTCAATAATGATATTATGTTCTCGTGTTTGGCAACAACAGATATAATCCGCCTTATCCGTTCATCGCATCGGAAACAAAAAAGCGAAAGAATTTGGAACGATCTTTTTACAATTATTTTCTTCAGTTGTATACAGTCAGTATCAGTCGGTAGTCGGTAACGCGTAAGTGAATAATCGTGTCTGTTGCGAGGCTCAAATCAAAAATGGCACATGTTTACGAAAATGCTGAACTTGTGGACATGGTTCTTATTTACGGGGAGTCTTTACAAAATGCTGCCGCGGCATCACGGATCTATGCGGATCGGTTTCCCAATCGAGTGCAACCAACCCCTCGTGCCTTTGTTAATGTAGTGCAAAGAGCTCGTGAATCAGGTGACTTAAGACCTCACAGAGGAGATCATGCCGGTGCTCCAAGACCACACGATCAAATAGAACTAGAAGAACAAATTTTAGAATTAGTAAGTGATGATCCAACAGTAAGCACCCGACAAATTTCAACTCAATTGGCGATTAGTCAGTATAAAACTTGGAAAACTCTACGTGAAAATCAGTTCTATCCGTTTCACATACAAAAAGTGCAGGCCTTACAACCGGAAGATCATGAACAAAGGGTTGACTTTTGCAATTGGCTTTTAAATAAACATCAAAATGATGACAATTTTTTAAATCAAATTTTAGTGAGTGATGAAGCCCTCTTTACTAGAAACGGAATTATTAATTCACGTAATTCTCACGTTTGGGCTATTGAAAATCCCCATGAAATAAGGGAAACCAATTTTCAACAGCGATTTGAACCAATCAACCTGTGGGCGGGAATTGTTAATGGAATTTTAGTGGGGCCTTTTGAATTACCAAATCGCTTAACTGGTGAAAATTATTTTGATTTCTTGCAACACAATTTGCCTGGTTTACTGGAAGATGTGCCTTTAAATATTAGACAAAACATGTGGTTTTTACAAGATGGGGCACCACCCCATTATGCAAGAAATGTGCGTGAATTTTTAAATAGACAATTTAATAATCGTTGGATCGGCCGTGGCGGTTTTGTACCTTGGCCGCCAAGGTCTCCGGACTTAAATCCTTTAGACTTTTGTTTGTGGGGTTGGCTAAAAACTCTAGTGTATAAAACACCGGTTAATACACGCGAAGAATTACGTGCTCGAATTGAGGAAATGAGTACAGTGATCAGAAATCAACCAGTGATTTTATTGCGTGCTTGTAAAGAGACATGGCTAAGACGCGCCCAGCTGTGCGTCGAGCAAAACGGAAATCATTTCGAACAGTTTTTGTGACATGCTTTTGGGCGCACAGGTCCGCACTGAAATACTTGTCGGGAGGATACTTTATAAAACAAGGTAACATTTTTTTTTAATTTTTTTTTATTTTTACACACATATTTTGGTTTATCTTCCTTCTACAATCATTATCTGAAAATTAATGACTCAACTTCAAAGTCACCCTGTATAGTAATAGTCGTACACATCTATGTACATGAGTCAGCCAAAAACCTGGACCCATAGACCATAATCCTACAGCGGACCAGATAAATAAAAGATAGTAGACCACGTCGGTGGTTGATGCTGGTTGCCTTATCAGTGGGCTGCCGAGACATATACAGGGTGGCGCATCGAAAACGAAACAGACGCATTTACTGGCAGCTCAGTTTTTTTTTGAAAAACGCTCAGAACCGTCGATTTTGTTTTCGAGGGGGACACAAGTTTGGCTAAAAATCACGTTAGCACGTGCAGTTCCCTAAGCGGGGGTGACACCACCCCCAAAATCTCAAATCGAAAGGGGGGTCGAGTGATACCTTATTTTGAAGGTCTTTCAATTCCCTTTATAATGATATAAAATTAATCTACTTCAGTTCAGTAGTTTAGAAGATTTATTGATTTAAAGCTTAAATAAAACTAATACATCATCATTAGTGGACATCAATACATTTGGCAGCAAAGTAATTTAAAAATGAAGAATGAATTGACCCGTTAGGCAAGTAAATGTTGAAAATAGCCACCATGACTCTCCAGGCAATAATAAAGATTTTGCTCAAAACGTTGCCGCAAATTTTTCAATATTTGAGGAGTAATTTGAAGGCACTCATTCACAATTCTTTGTCGCAGGTCTTCTAATGATGTTGGCTGAGTAGCATAGATTTTGCTTTTTAAATGACCCCACTTAAAGAAATCCAAAGGTGATAAATCTGGCGATCTTGGGGGCCATTCAATGGCACCTCTTCTACCAATCCATCGATCTGGAAACGTCTGATCTAAATACTGTCGAACACGTAATGCGTAATGTGGTGGGGCACCATCTTGTTGGAACATCAACCTATTCGCAATGTACCGCCGATCATTCTGATTTTCAATTATGGCTGTTAATGCAGGATCTATGGCGTCTTCCAGTAATTCCAAATACATTTTACCGGTCAAATTTCCAGGTAGGAAAAAAGGACCAACTACAGTATATTCACATAAGAGATAGACCGGACATAAACAAGACCACGTGATCATCGAACGCTGTAACATTCGGCAGGGACGTATTAAGAGTCACGCAGTACATATTTTAGATAGTAGATGCTGTTTTGCGTAACTTTGTAGTAAATCAGCACAATTCGATGTGTATACGATTGGTGATGGATATAGGATCATGTAGGGGTGGGGTAAGAAATATATAATGATGTAAATATACATAAGGGTTTCAAAATTTTCGCTTCGATTTCCAGCTTCGGATGCCGCCTGATGTTTGGTGAAATACAGTCGAATATAATCTCAAAATGGCGTTTAAATTAGCCTAAATTAAAAATAATCGTATATCTCTTAAAATTGCTTTTAGAATATTGATTAGTATATTTTTTGATTTCTAGGTAAATATGTAACCAAATTAAAACGTTCAGAACGTAAAAAAATGTGCATGGTTGAACATTGTCAGAAAGTAGATTCTTGAATAGGTTTTGCCAAAATTGGTTCAAAAATGTCAATAATTAATTAAAAAATACAGTAGCTTTATAATAACTTATAACTTACCGAATTTGATGGACGACATCTTTTATTGGAAAGATGAGCTTGATGAGCTTTCATCATTGCTACTGCCTGAAGCACCAACGTCAATAATGAATGGCTCGACTTGTTCCTCTAAAATATTGTCCAGTTCCCACATTCTCTTTTCAACTTTGTCTTTCACGTGCTTAATACAGTTTTCCCATTTTTGCGCTGTTATTAATTCTAGTGCTTCTTTGAAAAGTCCTTTGAGGTCACAAAATTTAAAAGTTGTATTGTGCTTAGCTATATAATTTTTAACCTCTGCCCATATGAGCTCAATGGGATTGAGCTCGCAATGGTATGGAGGTAAACGGAGCACAGTTTTATTTCGACTTGCTGCCATTTCGTCAATGGCGTATTTTTGATATTCCGCCTTGTGATCCTTGAAAATTCTTAATAATTGTACTTTCAGCATTGCTTCTTCAAAGTTGATATTTTTCGAGCGGAGCCAATTTTGAACATCAACTTTCCTTGAAGCCGTTGTTGGGACCTTCTCCATTCTTCGAGAATGATAAGGCGCATTATCCAACACAATTACTGCATTTTCCTCTAAGTTCGGTAAAATTTTTGAAAACCACTGTTCAAAGATTCGCCATTCATTTCCTCGTGGTAATTTCCAGTTTTCTTAGACTCAAAGCACCACAGACCGTCAACAACAAATCCATCCTCACTGCCAATATGGCAGATAATGAGCCTTTTCCCTTTACCTGGAAATCGAAGTACTAACTGGTGTAGATTTATTTCAATAAGCGAACCTTTTTCAAATGTTTTCATCACATTCAGCGAAAAAACATTGAGACATGAGTATCAGATTGCTATAATTGGGATTATTTAGTCATATTGAAAGAAAGAATATTGAACGTCGTATGATTACTCAGCACTTCACAATTTAATTTAAAGTTATAAACCTTTAAAAAATGAATGATCAGGAACCTGAAATACGCGCAAATATTAATATTAACAAATTATAACTTTATAAAGCTTAAAGTATGAATTAAAATGATTAGAAATATTAGGAACGGTACACAATATAAAACTTAGTAACTTTTTTTAAGTTTATAATATTCGACATATTTTAAGATTTTTTAAAAAAATTATTGAAATATCGAAAACACATAAAAACATGGCTTAAAAAAGTTCTAACAAATGAAAATGACAATAAAACATCCACGCATTTTATCGAAAGTTATAAAAGTTTTGTTACTTGTAATATGTTTTATCTGCCCCCTGGAATTAATGTTTAGAACCTTGTTCCCAAGGTTTGAAAAACATCCGATTGTTGTCTATTACTCGTATTTACCTGCTGGATTTTTTAATCCGGTGGACAGTCCATTTAGAAAGGCCCTCCTGGATGAAGTTACAGAATCATAAACCCATACTTTACTTGTAGTGTGTCCTGCGTTTACCCACGTTTCATCAAGGTAATAAATCTTCCTGTTTTGATTTCTATATTTCCCAATTTTTGTTAAATAATCCCTCCTCCATAGCACAATTTCATCTCTATCCAGTAGTAAACTATTACGACCCCGTTTTTTCCATTTGAAATTTAAATGCTTCAGTAACGCATGGAAAGTTGATCGTTTGAAATTTGGCAACGTGGTATCTCCATTTACCTCCTGCAGTACTTTATCTATAGTAGGTATTTCATTCCTAAAGAAGAATTCATGCACTTTCCTCCTAATCGCATGCTTATCAGCTTCATCCAATGATTTAACAATACTTTTGCGATGTTTACTGGTCATTGGCTCAGAAAAGGTGTGATTTTTTTTGTATTGTCTTAACACATTAAACACTGATGCGCGTCACACCCCAACTTTGTGAGAAACCTTCACAACAATTTCTTTGATGGTTGATGCCTCGTTCTCCTCGCGCTCGATCTTATATATATTCAAAATGACCTCTTTCATTTCTGCACTCAGGTGTCTTTTTTTAGAGCGTTTCCTAGGTGGACTACAGGAGTTTACAACTTCATCGGCAGTATCTGTACTACTGGGCATTTTGCGCAAGCAGTTGATAACAATAACAATCAATAACAAGGTATAACAATAACAACGACAAACTCAACAACTTAATAAGATAACAAACGAAAACGGCCAAAGAAATATCAAATTGCAATGATGCACACGACATACGTAACACGTCTGAACCTGAATATGACTCTGCCTTGATACGACTGCTCTGCCGCTCGGCATAGGCATTTAATTGCGAATTGACCAATGAGGGCTCCTGTTTTACATCGAGACGGCGGCGTTAGCGTGAAAATCACCCGAACCTTTTGTTTACATCCGGTCTATCTCTTATCTGAATATACTGTAAATGAAAAACATGAAACATTTATTTTTTCTGGCTGCTGTGTATGAACCTCATGATAAATTCTGGGATTAGAATCGGACCAATATCGGCAGTTATGACGATTTACTACGCCATTTAAGAATAAGGAACATCGTAAGGGAAATCGTCTTCATTCAGTTCTTGTACCAGGTGAATTTTATACGGATGAATGAAAACTATGGGCCTTTAGAATCCGTTGGACAGTACGTCGACTAACACCACACACAGTCTCCAATTTGCGGGTACTTAACGTAGGATCTACATAAACTTGCCCTAAAACCCCCACTTCTATTGCTTCGTTTCTTATGGGATTTTCAATGTTGCGTTTTTTGTTGGCGACTGCCCAGTTTCCCGAAATTTAGGTACAAGTTCTAGAACATATTTTCGATGCACGTTACTGTTCTCATGTCGCTCATTAAATATTTCTGCTGTTCTATTAGCGCACTGATTATTTCCGAAAAATATTTAGATAATTTCAACTCTTTTTGCTGTGGAATATACCATGGTTAATTTATGTAATAAAGGGTTACAAGTTATTTTAGCAACAAAGTTTGGTCAAATCAATCGCAAACTATCTACTAAATTCCTATTTAAAATAAGTACGAGATATTTCCTTATCTTTCTTCAAGAAATAACTCTTTTGCCACAAAAAATGCTCCAATAGCTATTTTCAACAACAAAATGATAAACAAACCATAAGCGTAGTGAAGAAAAGCATTTACTTATTGAGTAAATTCTTTTAGTCAAATTTCTTCTGAAAGTAGTACAAACTAATCTGATGTACCTATTAAAGTCTACTTTAAGCTTTATTTCAATAAATCTTCAAAACTACTGAACTGAGGCTCATGTATTTTACATCATTATAAAGGGAATTGAAAGACCTTTAAAATAAGGTATCATTCGACCCCATTTCCATTTAAAATTTTAGGGTTGGTGTCATCCCCGCCCAGGGGGCTGCACGTGTTAACGTGATTTTTTGCCAAACTTGTGTCCCCCTCGAAAACAAAATCGACGGATCTGAGCGTTTTTCAAAAAAAAAACTGAGCTGCCAGTAAATGCGTCTGTTTCGTTTTCGACGCGCCACCCTGTATACGAGATGAGGGTGATATTATCTTTATATATACAAGGCGTTTCAAAAGTATGGACACACCGACAAATCTCTGAAATTAAGGGCGCTAGAAAAAACTTTAAATGCAGAAGTTTCAGAAAATCAAAAGGCGCAAGTTGATTATTTCAAATGGGAATCCCATTTTTTATTGCAGAAATAGAAAGTCAAAAAAGATCCTTTTTAACGCAATAATTGCCATAGGGAATCAAGTCACATCTAGAGGTTTTTCAAGGTAAAATGTTGCTCTTTCATGGAATGTTGTGAAGCAGCGTATTGCTGTAAAAAGAAGAATATTAAAGAAGAACTGATGATGATCTTCATTCTGACCTTGAAGGTAAATTCAGGGTCAAATTGATGTTTTTACATGCAAACCCTAAAGTTTGATCCCAGCCCTGAAAATAGAGGGAAATCTCATGTTCAAAGGTTTACTTAACATAAGTAAAATTACACCTAGAGGTGATTTCAAGGTCAGATGACCCATTTTCGTGAATTAGACAGTACTACACCCATGTCTCATCATGAGAATAGTTATGCGTTCATAGTCAGTCAGAAGATCCCTCGGACGATCCATTTTCAATTAGAAAAACTGAATGCTTTGAGCAATAGAGTATTGTGGGTGTCTAGAGCGGCGACTCGATTGGTGTTACAAATAAATAAGGCGATGCACATAAAACAACATAAAACTGTTTCTTAATTTTGATATACCATGACGTATATAACTTAGCAGCGAATCAGAGCGAACGAATGGCATAAGAGATAGGATGACAATACATCGACAGCTAACTTTGAAAGCCAAATGCGAGGGTTACGCGCGATGTTCCAATTTTAATACTACAAACAGAGCTTATAGATAACTAATTAGGATATAAAACCAATTTTACTTTGTATAGACCTTTGAGGTGATAATCAAGGTCAGAATGAAATTCAGCATCAGATGTGCCGTTGCAATTTTCGCTTTAAGAGTTTTTCTTTAATATTCGTCTTTTCCAGCTATCTGCTGCTTCACAAAATTCCACGAAAGATCAACAGTTTACCTTCAAATAACCTCTATCTGTAATTTTAGCCCTATGATATTTATCCGTTGAAAAAGCATTTTTTTTTGGCTTTCCATTTCTGCAGTAAAAAATTGTGACCTTCAAGGTGAATGTCAACGTTAAATCCAAGGTCCCCAATGGGTGCCATTTGAAAAGCGTGTTTTTTAGTTTTTGTAAACTATTGTTTATTATTCATTTTTTAGTTCGATTTAACAATTAGTTTTTTGTGGACATGTGGTATTGGAATGTATTACGAATCATTTCGTAATCTAATTCATTGCATTTAAAGCTTCACTGTTGCATTGTCATCGGTCCTTGAGTTTCAAGTTAATCAAACTGCTGGAAATTGGTGAAAATATTTCGTTACATACATACAGGCCTAGCTAATAAAAGCGTGTTGAAAATGAAGTACCTCAAAAAATTCTTGACGACAATCAACTTGGTTCTTTAGGTTGAAATCCTTGAATGTTATGTTCAAAACTTTGGTGTTGTTGACTATCAGTGTCCACGCACAGCTTACAGCATTATTGGAAGAGTAAAAATTGCTGGGCGGGTATTTGACGGTACCAGATTCTTTCCTCCATATACCTCCACAGGCTGTAAAGGAAAAATGCATGTCAAAATCCACACCTGAACTCCCAGAATGGAATAGAAGCTAAAGTTGCAGGTTCGAATTCCTGCGGCAACAGATTTTTCTTGCAACTAGATTTTTTAAAAACCACTCAAGTTCATTTTTCCCAACATGTCCTTTTTACCGAAAAATCTAAATTCATTAACTACAAAAATAAACGTCACACACTTCTTTAAGATTTTTTTTGTTTTCTACCTATAGCTGAAAAGGTCCTTCAAATATACACGGGATACTTAAAAACATTTTAATGACTAGGGGTATCGAGTGATAGCTTGTTTGAAAGGTCTTTCGAAGTTCTTTATTTTGACGTTTTAATGAAAATTAGAAAAATCTTTATTTATCTTAATTTTTTCAGATAGAAAACAGAAACACACGAAAATATCACTTTTATTTCAATAAAGTGTTAAAACGTTGCCCGTTATTGGCCAAACAATGATATAGACCATGTTCAAATTCCTGACCGACATTTTCAAAAACATGTGAGTTGTGGGATATCAGGGCAGCTTTTGTAGGTGCGTTGACGAAGTTGATCCAAACTTTCAGGTTGGGAAGTAAACGCAATAGATTTCAAATGGCCCCATAAGAAAAAGTCTATTTGCGTAAAATCGGGAGATCTAACAGGCAATTCTATAGAGCCTCTTCGCCCTATCGATTTATCTGGAAACTCGTCGTTTAGCCATTGCCGAATCGGAAGAACATAGTGAGGAGGAGCGCCGTTTTGCTGGAAATATATTTCAGGCTCATCAAGTATAGGGTTTCTATCTTCTTCGATTTGGTTTTCAATGGTTTCAGTGATAAGCAGATTGATACTATTTTCCAACATATGCAACATACATTAATTTTGGGGGTACTGGGTATTCCCTTCTACAAAAGCTTGAGGATTTTCATTGCTCCAATACCTGCACTTATTAACAAATCCATTTATATAAAATGTGCATTCATCACTGAAGCAGATATTCTTTACATGAATGGTATTATCATTAATCGCGCCATTTGTTCACACACCTCAACTCGGCTATCTAAATCATCTTCGGTTAACTATTGCAATATTTTCATTTTGAATGGATGAAATTTATGGAGTTTAGTAACTGTGTGTACACAGCCTAATTGAATACCACTTGCAGCAACAATTTTGCGTAATGAAGTATTAGGATTTATTCCAAAATGACCCAAAACTCTAACTTGAGCGGCTTCATCCAAAACTCTCCGATCATCATGTTTTTAATTTTCAATGGATCCAGTTTCAGTAAATTTAGTTACACGGTCCAAAACATACCTATGCGAAGTTATCTTCCCCGGATGTCTGACGTTAAACGTGACGGCTGTTTGCCGAGCACATGGATTTTGGGCACCATCAATTAGAATCATTTCCACACTTTCGGCTAGTGTGTAAGCCATTTTGGAAGAAAAAACCTTAATTTTCACTATCCCAAGATTGTCACAAAGGTAACCCTTAGCAACAAATAACTAAACAGGTATAACAAAAAATACAGTTCGCCCAGGATACCCGTGTTGATGAAAAGAATGCGGAAAAAATTCGGGTTGTTATTTGGTTGCTGCCACGTCTAATATTCCGAATTGCTGTTGTTGGTAGTTCCTGTTTTAAATTATAAGGGAATTGTAGATTTGACAAGCCCTAGCGGGCAACATTTCGAACACTTATTGAAACAAAAAGTGATATTTTCGTGTATTGTTTTCTATCTGAACAAATTAAGATAAATAAAGATTTTTCTAATTTTCTTGAAAACGAATCGACTGATTTTAAAAAATCAAACGTCAAAATCAAGGACTTCGAAAGAGCAAGCTATTAGTCGATACCATTTAAGATTTTGAGGGAATGGCCCTGCGGGCCGACTGTGAAAGGGGGTGAAGTAGTTTTTGGTTAAAAAGTTATCCCGTTGACAAATCTTTTGACGTGTCTAGGTGTTTGTTCCTTTAATCAGTAGTTTGCGATAAATACGTGGTGGGAAGTTTTCAAATATTTATGTTTTAATTTATGTTTATTGTACGACCATCATATTGGCATTTTTCAATAGAGTCCTGTCAATTTATTTGTTGGAAAAAACATTTTGATGCCTGGTAGTCAAATAAGCACTTAGGGTCTTTTGTTGAATAAATAAGTCTCTGTACTTTTTCGCTATGGTCGTTTCACAGTTTGGATGTGAAACGGGGAATTCGATTTTCCCAGATTTTCGCTTTCCCGGGTTTCCTCTATGCTCCGTAAATATATTGAAATATGCAAAATTAAAACATGTGGTATGTAAGCAAGTAACTATTCAAGTGTAATTTTCAATAATAGGCAATGAAAAATATGATTGATATGATTATGTTGCTTAAGTTATATACCACTAACCCTATTTCCTCTTGAATAGTCCATAACAGTGTTTTGGGCTTTTTTTATTATTATGAATACGCTATGAAGGTTATTCGAAATTTCAATCTTCTAGAACTGAAATACAAAAAAGTACCTTAAAACTAGATTATTTGTCAGTGGCAGCTTTTATTGTTTCCTGAAAAATTCAAATTATGAGACTTACGAGGTTTTGCAATGACCGATCCATTTGCACATTGCTTAGCTATTCCTAAAACGGTTCTTTTGAATCAGATTTTGAAACCCATAATTTACCTGGTAGTTCGAACTCGCACTGCTTTCCATAAAACCCAGACTTGCAAGTACACTTATATGTCAAAAATGCTATATTTTGACAGGTACCTCCATTCAAACAAGGATTTGGATCGCATGGATTACTTGAGGAAATTTCGCAGTTTCTCCCTGTAAAAATATACAGGAACATAGATTGTAAAGCTGGGCAAACATCGATATGGTATAAAAAAGCATTTAAAAAACAACATTCGTCATGAACAGAAAAAAATAATGTGACGAGTTTCAACAAAAATGTCCTAACGAGGGTAGGTTGGCTATTTTGTTGGGGACTTCGTGTTTCATCATTTTTTTTCCTCCATCTTCGTTTCCTGAGGTTACACCCGTATACGGATGTATGGGCATGTGTATCTACTTTTGTGGTTGCATATGTGCATTCATTTCGGGCCTGATGAAGCCAACAAGCAGAAATACCTATCGCTCGTGTTACCTATCCTATTTTCTGCTCAAAACCACTTTCCTTCTGTTGCACAAAAAGAAGGAAACTGGATTCGAGCAGAAAATAGGATACGTAACCCGAGCGATAAGTATTTCTGTTGGTTGGCTTCATCAGGCCCGAAATGAATGCACATATGAAACTACTTAAGTAGATACACATGCCCACACATCCGGATACGGGTGTAACCTGAGGAAACGAAGATGGAGAGGGAAAAAACGACACACGAAGTCCACAACAAGAGCCAACCTACACATTGTAGTATAAAAGTAGTATAAAGTCTAGAAGACCTCGAATTTTCAAGGAGACCTCTAACCACAATCACGCGGCCGGTTATAGCCACTTGCTGTGGTACTTCAAGCCCAAAGGATCTACAAAGAGAAAATGATCATGCGGAGAAAGGTATATAACAGAAAGTAGGAAAATAATGGGCAAAATCCGCAAAAAGGAGGAAAGTGGATTTGAACAGAAAATAGGATAGGTAACCCGAGCGATACGTGTTTCTGCTGGTTGGCTTCATCAGAAAGGTGTATAACAAAAAGTAGGAAAATAATGGGCAAAATCCGCAAAAAGGAGGAAAGTGGATTTGAGCAGAAAATAGGATACGTATCGGTCGGGTTACCGATCCTATTTCCTGCTCAAATAAACTTTCCTCCTTTTTGCGGATTTTTTCCATTATTTTCTTGTTATATACCTTTCTCCGCATGATCATTTTCTCTTTATATATATATATATATAGGTATATAACAAATAGAATAATAATTGGCAAAATCCGCAAACAGAAGGAAAGTGGATTCGAGCAAAAAATAGGATAGGTAACCCGGGCGATACGTATTTCTGCTTGTTGGCTTCATCAGGCCCGAAATTAATGCACATATGCAACTACAAAAGTAGATGCACATGCCCATACATCCGGATACGGGTGTAAGCTGATGAACCGAAGATGGAGAGGGAACAAAATGACACAGGAAGTCCCCAACAAGAGCCTACCTACAGATTGTAGTATAAAATAGCTAGACGACCTCCAGTTTTCATGGCAACGTCTAACCACAATCACGCGGCCAGTTATAGCCACTTGCAGTGGTACTTTAAGCCCAAAGGATCAACAAAGAGAAAAGGTCAGGTACGTCTCGCATTCTGAGTCATGCATTCTGAATTAACCAACAAATCACGTGTGTTCTAGTTCTAATCGACTCTGAACAAATAAGTTCCCATTGTAATCATTTTTATGGGCTATACCTTCAAAGTTCAAAGGGAAAACTTAAACTGTAAATGAGTTGCAACGACATACCTTTAGATTTTTGTGTTCAACTGTTCTTACCTTGGTATCCTTTATTACAAGTGCAGATGTAATCATGAGTGTTATTAACAGAACATATCCCATGTTTGCAAGGGTTTGATGTACAGGGATGTAAGTAACTTGGTGACGGAGTGCAACCATTGGTGCCTTTCCCGTTTCCAATGTAACCAGGGGGGCAAATACAGTCCACGTAGTATGTCCCTATATCTAAAAAATAGAAAAGGAGCAGCAGTTAGATCATTCTGTCTTCCGAAAAAACCTTGGAAACTAAACAAATTTGATCAGATTAGCACTGTAATTCCTAACACCCGTCTTTTCAACTTTATCGCAGGAGATTAGCGATACGTACTTGGATTTTCTCGGCAGGTAGCCAAAGGATGGCATCCTCCATTATTTGCAGAACATAGTCCTCCACCATAGGTACATGTCACACCATCTCCCCTATATCCTGGTGGGCATGGTCCACATACTCTTGAGCCCTATTGCAAAATTTGTTTGATTAAATATTTAACTGGTAAAATATGTCAAAATAAAGATCACGACAGTAAAAACATCGCTTGCGTATGGTTGATACGTCATCTGGAAAGGGCTTACGGAACAAGGTGATTTTTGAGATTTTGGAATGGGCTCCAGGATATTCGAGTAATGAAGTCAACAAGAGGGTAGATGAGCTTCTGAGAAAGTCCAAGAATAGACAAGGCAACAACCCAAGGAATTTCTAAAGGCAAGTATGACGAAGGACCATGTAAAAAATGACAGCAAGCCTACTTTCAATAAGAAGAAATTGCAACAGAATAAAATTGCCTGAAAACACACCTACATCAAATAGGGATGTGTGATCGAGGCCTTCTTTACAGAAAGCCACGGTTGGCCTTCTTTCAAAGTACAAGTCAAGAGTCACAACGACTATGTTTTATATCTATTGGTCTTCGAGGTAATAGTTCATTTGTTTTTCACTAACTGTCTCTTACAACAACAGCCTGAACAATTTCAAGATGATACCGCGCAAAATCCAGTACCACCTGGGGTAGGCATTCCTACTTCCAAATTACGTCTAGCCCTCCCAAAACGACCAGCAAGCATGAGGTTATCTCTGTGTTTTGAATGTACCAGACACGTCACCCTCGCTGATCGCCCGACAACGCTAAGCGACTCCAACTATTGACGCTGCATCTGCATTATTCATGCAGAAATAGTACTTTTATTATTTTTTTATACTTATATAAGAGCACCGTGTTGTTTGTTTTGTAAGAAAATAAGACACAACAGTCTTGAGGTGCCGAAGCAAAACATCTGCGCGCCTGGGATCCAATAACAAACATGAACTGTCACCTGGAAGACAGATAAACATAACGTACATTGTCATTTTGATATGCACACTGAGAAAAAATTAATTAGGCCAATTAAAAATAAATTAGTAACTATGTTATAGCTAACAAGTTTAATTAGTTTGATTAAACTTCGCTTTCTGTAACCATTTACTTGAATCTATGAAATTAGTTTGACTAAGCCAAATCGCAATCGTTTAATTAAATTCATTAAGCCGTTTACTTAAATTGAGTACACCAGTGTATTTCAAATTAATGAACTATTAAAATACGTTTACCCACTCCAAGTAAGATATTTCAATTATATTTATTAAATTTGCTTAATTAGTTTAGGTAAAAGGATTTGCCTAGTCTTAATAAGTTATTTTATTTGGATCATATTTGGAATTTAAGAGAAAAAATTGGATTTTACTGAATGTTGTATATTATAACTCTGCTCTGGCATAATCTAAGACATCAACAAAATATGGAAAACTTAATATAATTCGAATCAAAATAAAATTTCCTAGTTATGTAACCCTGACAAAATTCGATATTTTTTATTTTCATTCAAAAATTATTATATAAGGAAACAAGTTTTACAAATTATTTGTCAAATTGTTCAGAAAAAGGTTATACTATATCACCATTGACAGAAGCAATTCCTTGTTCTAAATTCAGAAATTAGGGAAAGGGATATAGGAAACTCAATAACTCATGTGTACAAAAATTTTACGTTTATTTCTAATATTAAAAAAATATTGCACTCACTCGCATTCAATATTTTGAATGTATACAGAAGCAATCTAGGTTTGTTTTTTATTGTTTATGTATAAGCCAAAAGGCATCATATGTAGCATAATCTATATAAAATGAAGGTTTACAAATTGAAATTAAAAAAAATCCTACATAGGTTTTCATTATTTCAGGAAAACATGGAGTACTAGAAGTTTGCTTTTGCTCTCCGTCCCTTCGCTGTCTCACCTTACTGATGTTATCTAGTAAGCATGAGACAGCTGTTGATTAGACAGAGGAAAGGGGTATTATTAATAAATTCCGTAAGGTTATCGCCGTTTCCGAAATTCCTGTATCTTTTTGCAAGTAATTGCATCATACTTACGCGAGTATTTATGCAAGTAACCATAGGGCTGATACTACATCCTCCATTGTTCACAGTACATTCATCTATATCGGTGCAGTGATATCCATTTCCAGTGAAACCTATAAATATCACGTTAAATAAAAATGTTGGTTCTATACAGGGTGATACACAAGTCGTGACCAAAAATTAAACATCATACACAGGACCGCATCTCAAGGATGGTCTTCTATGTAACATTTTTTCCTCGAGGGCTTCATTAAAAAGATACGGGATGTTGAAGTTTAAAAATAAAAAACATTTTTTTTTAATATTTTCAAAACCGTTGGCTGGAATTAACGTAAATTTGGTATGTGGATTTACCTAAGTATTGTATAAGCCTTTACTTAAAATTAACGTTCACCAGTGGCGGAGATACAAGAGATAAGAGACATTATTTTTCCAAACAAAAATGGTATGCCACTGTTTTTTTTTTCGAAACGCGTAATTTTTCGAATTTTACTTTCAATTTGGTACAAATCATTACTTTTGTTTTTGTAAAAATAGAAAAAGAAATTATGTAATCAAAGCTTTATTTTAATAAATGTTCAAGAAGGTCACCATTCTGATAGATAAAAGTGCGGCATCTTTTTAATAAAGAAAAACGTATTACCGCAAAATTTGTTGCTTGGATTTGATGAAACGCATTATCTATTCTGTCTTGTGACTGATCAACAGTATTAATTTGTTCAGCATACCCTAGTTGGTTAAAAGCGCCCCCTTTTCATACAAAGTCATATATCTCCGCTAAAAATGATCGTATTGAGCTTTCAAAAACAGGATATTGAAGTTGAAAAAACGGGCTATCTAATCTATATAATGAGCTAACAGAAAAAATGTTTTTCAAACCCATAGAGTAAAAAGTAGGCAAGAATTTTTTCTTGACTATCTGTTAGTAATGCACGAGAACCATTGCTCCTAAAGTGTTTCGACTAAAAACCTGCAATTATTTTTTAACGTCTATATACGACCATTTTTATATATAGTATATATATTTTTGCAATGCAACCTGACCTGTTAGTTAGTATGTATGTATGTATAGGACACATCTTGAATCTTAATTTTGAACCAGTTATCTTGAATCAATTGAGCTCAAATTTTGTATACCCGTTTAGTACGCAATGAATTAAACGATATGGCTGATGCTGCAAAATGGCATTTTATAATCCCACAGCCATCTCTATGACATTTGTATCAAATGAAAGGGCTCAAACACAATAACCGAAGGGACATCATTCAGTATGGCAGCCACCGTAAAACGACGATTTATAATTTCCATATCCATCTCTATGATACGAGTATCTAATGAAAGGGCTGAGAGAGCCACAATAAGCAATGTGGCGTCATTCGAAATCCAATATTTGGCGACCGCCCCAAAATACTTTTTATATTTTCCTTGGTCACCCTTATACTGTGGGTATCAAATGAAAAGACTTGATTATATGAACACAATAAGCAAAATGACGTCATCCTTAATTCAATATGGCGTCCGAATGGCGTATCGAATAAGAATGCTTGATGAGCGAGGCACAGTATGGAAAGCGTTATCATTTCCAATCCAACATACCAATTTAACCCTACTGAGCGGGGCCGTGGCAAATGCTTGTTCCGGAAGTTGTATCCAGTATACAAATTCTTCCCGTTCAAGTGATTGTACACGCGTTAAGAAATAGCTCAGTACCGATTGCCAGGTGACGGAACAAGTCTGCCAACGGGCCACTTTAGGTTTGTTTAATATCATTAACACGTAAAAAGAAGGTAGTAGACAATGAGCAGTCGACCGAGGCGGTACCACCCGCTAGCTTTTCCCAGGGTGTCTTATAAATGTCCGCATCTTTCCACACCTAAGGTATGCAGTCGGTTATCTTCTAAAACAAAGAAATTAATGATGATGGATCCCTCGAGCACTAAGAACTCCGGATGTAAGCTCACTCCACTCTCAGAATGTCCGGGTGGAGGGTAGGCTCAAAGGAACAACATCGAAGATAAAATTTGTTTTACGAACATCTGCGGGATTAACAGCAACATTGATGCATGTTCATCACTACCTGCATTCCAATCGTCCCGCCATGCTTTTCTTGGCGGAGATAAAAATCTCAGAGTTTGCACCGATTAACCATCTTAACTTCCCAAACTACGAGGCGCACTCCAGTCTGAGAAAGAACGGGGGAGTTGTGGCTTTTGTCCGCAGCAGTCTTCCCTGCTCCAGAGATGTTTCTTTGGAATCAGACCGGAAGGACATTCTGTGGCTTCGCCTCAAGTCCAAAACATCCCCCAAATTTATTTGCTGCCTTTATCGCTCTCCCTCGAACCATAACCGGGTTGACCTACTCGAATATCTCGCCGTCCAGATCGACTTCCTGAAAACCAATCACCCCGCTTCAGAGGTAGTTCTTCTCGTTGATTTCAATGCCTGTAATGAGCTTTGGTTGGGCTCAAACAAGACCAATGCAGCAGGTCGTGCAGTCGAAGCGTTCGCTCTTACTCAAGGGCTGATCCAGCTAGTGACGAGCCCTACTTTTTTTCCCCAGTAGCCTGCTGGATCTCTTTCTGACCTCGCACCCTGTCCCTTACAGCACTGCTGTCCTGTCCCTCCTAGGTAACTCAGACCACGGTGTTGTGAAGGTTAGTCAGAACCAGCTGTGGCAGCAGAAACTCGTACAGGCCGCAAGACTTGGCATGACGGACATGCCGACTGAGTTCTTCTCTAGCTTTCTGTTTCACTGACGCGGATGCGTCGGCTGTCTGTTTCTGTTTCTTAAACCAGGGTCCAACGGCTGGTTTAAGAAATTGTGTGACACTGATCGCCAGTATAAGATCAAGGCACACAGAACCTTCTAACAAAACCCCACGGTAGAGACAGACAAGCCGACGTCGAGTCCAGAAACAAATATATCGAAGCGGTTCGCAATGCCAAAAACCAGCACGATGTAAAAGTTAGGCACAGGGTAATGTCGCAGATTAAAAAGAACTTCTCACCGCCTTCCACCACTTACGTGTCAGGATGGAACTATTGTAATCGACTCAAAGGCCAAGGCGGAAGTGCTAGCCAAGATCTTTGCTGCCAACTCAACCATGGACGTCCCCCCAACGCTCAAGTGCCGTCAATTCAAAGGGTTCCCTACACTATGTGGGAGGTAACATTCAGCCATAAGACCGTAAGACGAAGCTCGACATCAACAAAGCTTCTGGTCCGGACTTGATTCCTGCCATTGTACTGAAGAGGTGTGCAGCGGAGCTTGCTCCTGTTCTTTCGCGTATCTTCCAGATATCTTATGAATTCGGCACCTTCCCAGAAAACTGGAAATTAGCTCATGCCCAACCCATCCCAAAAAAAGAATCTAAGACCAACCCTTACAACTACAGGCCTATAGCTGTGCTATCTGTTATAAGTAAGGTGATGGAGAGGTGCATAAATCGCGAGCTTCTGGACTACCTCGAACGTCGCAGCTTGATTAGCGACAGGCAGTATGGTTTCCGGCACCAACGATCCACAAGGGACCTCCTAGCTTACGTCACGCAATTGTGGAGTAAACTCATCCAGTCTTATGGTGAGGCTCATGTCGTTGCTCTTGACATCACGAAAGCGTTCGTTCAGCTGTGGCACGCTGCCCTTTTAAGCAAACTTCCATCCTATCGCCTCCCAGAAAACCTTTGCAGATGGGTGGCTGACTTTATGTCTGGCCGCAAGATATCCATCGTAATTGACGGGTTCTCCTCTTCATCCCATAATGTCAACGCGGGTGATCCCCAGGGATCGGTCTTGGCTCCGACACTGTTTCTCTTACATATCAACGACCTCCTTTCTTGCACGATCAATCCAATCCACAGCTTCGCTGATGACAGCACTCTACATGCAGGAATTCAGAGTGACAAGCCGATCTCTGCCGCTGAGCTGTAAAAAAGAAGACTTTCGACGACTTCTTCTCTGACAATAGACCTGGAGGCTATCACTGCTTGGGGACGCAACAATCTTGTACAGTTCAATGCTTCCAAATACAGTACTGTACTTTGACGAACAAAAAGCGTCCTAACGTTCATCCGGTTTCGATGGATGGCCAAGTTCTGCCAAAGAGCCATTCATTTCGGCTGGTCGGACTCCAGATCACCGAGGACCTGATCTGGCATGAACACATTTCGTCAATAGCTGCAGCTGCTGGGAAAAAGCTAGGCTATTTGTTTAGGGCTAAGAAGTACTTTTCTCGGCATGACCTTCTCACTCTATACAAGGCTCAGATAAGGCCTGGCCTCGAGTATTGCTCACACGTTTGGAGCTTTGCTCATCAGAGCACTCTTCCATGATGCCGCTGCGCGATGTGCCTGCCAGACAGACCCGCCTGACTTTGGCGTCCCATCCCAACCGTATCGAACTTCGTACATCCAAAACTGACCGATACGACCGCTCCTTTGTCCCGAGGTTGTCGACATTGTGGAACAATCTACAAGAGGAAGTTTTTCCCAGTTCTACTAACCTTAGGTAGTTCAAAAATCGTACTAACAAAATTTCTTTGGGATCATCATAGCAGCCGCGGTGTTCCGGCATTTAGGCTTCTGCTTGCGCGGCTGCTTCGATATATAAAAAACCTCAATGTGTCAAGTACCTATGTGGTACCACAGAAATTTGTCAAACAAGGATTAACATTGTGATTATTGTAACTTGAAAGATATAAAAATATTTATCAAAATCATGAGATGAAATTAAATTGTTCACTATTCATAAAATAAAATAAAACAATTATCAATTGCCGCACAAAATAAAATTATTGTTCCATTAATTTTGGAACAAATACTCTAGGCAATTATTTCCTCGTACTATTCACGTCAAGATAACACTTCCGGTACGTTGAATAATTATTCAATTAACACGCAATCGATTCTCAATAGAAGTTATTCCACCGTGAGACGCTGTGTTGTTTGGACTATTATTTTTGTGGTCAATACTTGATTAAACATTAAGTATAATTTGATTCATCATAAAAGAGCTTCCATTTAATTTGCTCTTTCAATCGAATTTAAAGTCATTGAAGTAAAACTGATACAAATTTCCTGTTTTCTACCTCATGAGTTGGCTATATTCTTAACAACTTAAGGTATATGTATACATCTCAAAATGTTCGTTTTATTTTTTACAAAAATGCATTTTTTAGTTTTTGAAAAGGTCAACGGTTCTTGAGTTGTTTTGAAAAGGTAATGAAAAACAATTTTTAGCAATTGCATAAGTATATTTTCAACGATTTTGTCGCAAAGCTGGAAGAATGCATATTCGGACACTTTTTGTTCTGCCTCTAACTTTTTCGTAATCAAAAGATAGATTGGACGCATTAGCAGTGGCGTGCGATGGGTATTTGATACTTGACCTTGAACTTAAAACATTATTGAACGTGGATTCAGTGGCGGCGGAGTAACGTGCATGTAAATATGAAATTATACATCGAGATAGTTACCATTAGGACAGGGGCCACAATAGAAAGAGCCTGGAAGATTGATACACTGTACTGGAGGATCTAGAGAACATGGAGGATGGTTCATTTTACACTCATTCACATCAACACAGTGTATATCACTTCCATCATTTGTGTAACCCTAAAATCATAGATTACATTTGCATTGTAAAAACGAAAAAAAAAATCTGGTGTCAAAGAGATATACCTATAGCCATATCAAATCCTACAGAATGTCATAAAAATGTAAAAATAATCGATATAATGACAGACACCCAATTAAAATGGGCATTAGAGAAGCGCCAAGGGATCGAAACACTCCTCTTTTCAAAGTAGATTTCTAAATTCATTTTTGGGTTCTGCTATTATCTCATAGATAGTGCTAGGATTATTCAGATCCATTTTAGGCACCAGAATAGTTGACCATTTTCAGATACATATACCTTAATCAGTGGTACAACTTTTGGAATACACACAAATCCGTGTGCCTTTTATGATCACTGTTTACAGGAACATCATGACAAATTTATATTATGATTTTGCGAAGTTAGTTTATTTCACTGATTATTTTTATTTTTATTTTATTTCATGGGCTTGAGTGATACCTTAATAATAATTTTAGTGGGAGTTTTTGTTTTGAAAAAAAAACAGTAATGAGTAGAATACCTTAAGACACCAAAGACCAAAGTATTATTCGAAAACAACCTAACCCAACTATTTATCTTTCACATATGATCGATCATGCAACATGAAAACATCGTCTATCTTTGTCGGATACTTGCAAATTAGCAATACAGTTTGTTTAGAGAATAAAATTCTGTTTGTCTCTGTCTAACATATCTGAAACTTCAATAAAAATATTCACAAATCGCTGCCGTTTTTCTTTACTACAGACTAAAATGATGACGTAATCGTCATCTTTCGTGATTTCGACTATAGAACGAGAATATCTAGATGCCATTACATCTAAAGGCATACTTACTTGATCGCATATGCACTTGTAACCAAAAGCATTGTTTTTTTGAACGCATGTACCATGTTCGCCGCACAAATCGTGGCTCCCTGATAAGCAGTCTGTCTTTCTTCTTGTACAATGAACTCCTACGAAACCGCCTATGCATATACACCTGTAAAGATTATATTGACTAGAAAGAGTTTCAGCATCTCTGACGGTATTCTTACTCATATGATCCAGGTTTATTCATGCAAGTAGCTCCGTTTTGACAACCTAAGTCTGTTCCGGCAAACCTCGCACATTCGTTTACATCTTCATCACATTCAGGACCCTGAATAAAAATATCTTCGTTGAGATAACTTCAAAATAGCAATCTGGTAATTTTATTTTGTAATTAAAATTTTACAATCTTTGACGATATGGAATTTTTTGCAAATTTTGTAAATTTTGGAAATCTTAAAATACAGAGTGTTTTCAAAGTTGAGCCATTTATTCTTACTGCTTGTAGGAGTTGTCAGGAGTTGATATACCAAAAATCACCTATATAAAAGCTGCATAATAAAAGCAATAGTAAAAGATAAAAAATTTGAAAGAATAGGAATGTTACGAATTTCGCTAAAATATTCGAAAAGTGTCTTGAAGAGAGATTATCAAGCTTTTAATCTAGTAATAATGTTTTGTCAGAAAATCAATTTGGTTTTCGCAATGGCATCAGTACCTCAGATGCAATACTTAAGCTTACAAGAACCATTTCAAAAAATCTTGATCAAGGGAAGAAATGCATTACAGCCTTCCTAGACTTTGCAAAGGCATCTGACACAGTGCCTCATGACTCCCTTCTAGATGTCCTCGATATTTATGGCATCAGGGGTGTTGTGTCGGAGGTTTTTGCGAGTTACTTGACAGGTAGAATACAGATGACTAAAATCGGAAATGTGATCAGTGACTCGACAGAAATAGAAATGGGCATACCACAGGGCACCGTTATTGGGCCATTACTATTTATATTATATATAAACTCTTTGACAGATATTAAAATAGAAAATGGTATGGTGGTTTCATACGCTGATGACACCGTCGTGGTCTTTGTGGCGGAAACATGGGAAGAGGTATATGAAAAAATATCCCTTGGATTAGAAAAAATAAAATATTGGCTTGATTTATCTAAACTTAGTTTAAATGTGGATAAAACTAATTGCATAGCCTTTTCCTTAACATCTGCAAATCGACCAAATTTTAACAGTATACAAGTAAACGGTTTTTAAAATGAAATAAAAGAGGTACCAAACACCAAATACCTTGATGTAATAATATATAGATCAAAATCTTAAATGGAAGCAACATTTGCTTAGGTTAACTAGCAATCTACGAAAACTAATTAGGAAATTTTACATGATCAGAGAAATAGTTTCACAAGCATAAACTTAAGATCAATTGACTATATTGGTCTGAAAATCTACAACATTTTGCCGGGGACACTGAGGATGATAAATAAATTAAAATTGTTTAGTTCAGAGTGTAGATCATTTGTTGTGGCAAACCTTGATAGGTTCATAGCTCTTTGCTAGCTAAATATGCAAATGTTTTGATCATTTTTTTTTTTTAGGAATTTAAATTCTGAGTTGGTTGACTTTGATCCTTGTTTAAGTTTCTACAAAGTAATTGGCATGACATTATAATTATATAGATTGTCAAATAATTATTTGACCTGGATTTATTTTGTTTTATTTGTTTTACTATTTTATTATTAAAATGTTACATTACACATTATTTAAGATTGGTGCATACGGATATTAACTTATCTAGGTACCACATAAGAAAAACTATACATGTTTTATTTTAGTGTAATATATAAAACCACCGTATATATCGGCATCACTTTGTAATATATTGTATATTGTGCTCGTATTGTATTACACAATTTTTTTAATATTCTTGACCACTGCCGTGTGAAATGTTATACGTATATAACAATGAAGTGGATTTTAGGACATTTCGGTAGAAACAAAACACCCTGTATGGAAAATACTGAATTTTTTAAAACACAATTTTAAAAATTGTGGTAGTTTTGAGAATGTTAAAAATCGTACAAAGTTTTTAATTTTTCAAATTTTGAAAACCGGTGACGACAACTGTTACAGCCTACTGTGAATTGCAAATGTAAGTGTTCTTATTCCTTAGCTGACCGGGTTCAGTTCCACAATGGTCTATAGATTTGAAAACCAGTCGAAAATTGAAAAAAAATCTGAAATGAATGGAAAATATTTCCAATTTTAAATTTAGTACCTCAAACAATAAGAATCAAAACCTTGCTTACAATAACTTTGCCATGGCAGGCTCATAAACTTGAAGTTTTTGGTCTATAATTCCACCTTTTAACGGCGAAATTGGAGAGTTTGTGTACATTCCGTTGTGTTGTGTATTGAAGATATTTGAACATCGGAATATGGATCATAAAGAGAGTACCAACTTTCATGTAATGTAATAGAATCTATCTCCTCTGATTCGGACTTAGTAACCAGAAAAACGACACAATGTCCTTGTACGGGTGACCTTCAAATGCCCTCATAGAGGCGAACTGACTTCAGATTTGAAATCAGTGACCCAAAAAACTTGTTGTAAATTGTATAAATGGCATAGACATTCTATCTTCGCCAGCTTTTCGGTGTTTTAAACCACAAGTCACAATGCCAGTAGCAAACCAGTGTTTTCTGAACATAAGATAGGTCCCACATGATTTGGAAATTTCTTAGGTGTATTTTTTAACAACACTATGCTGTTAGATACTCCTACTTATAAGTGCCAAAAGCTAGTATCGGTCTAGCCCCGAGTACTGCTCACAGGTTTGGAGTGCTGCACAGGACACAGACAGCCTCGGTACCGTTTCGCACCTACGGGCCGTCGGCGATCTTAGCTCTTACCTAACGCTGGGTCAACAGGCTTTGCTTCTTAGAGCTCTCCTCCATGATGCCGACGAGCGACGGGCCTGCCAGATACATCCGCCTGACTTCGGCATCCCATCCTTATCGTGTCAGATTTCGTACATCCAGAACTGGCCGATACGAGCGCTCTTTCGTCTCTAGCGTATTGAGATTGTGGTACAGTCGACCTAAGAAGACTTTTCTCAGTTCTACGAGCCTTAGGCAGTCCGACTAACGGACAGTCTCGGAACACTTTCGCACCGACGGCGACCAATCGGCGCTATCTTTTACGCGGTCGCTTTGGTATAAAAAAACATCTCATGAGATGGCAACACTTGGAAACAGGGTAGCCTGTTTGCTAGCCTAGTATGTTTACTTCTATGATGAATCTCCTTCATGACACTGTAAAGTTTGGAAATACCTACCTCCCACCCTTCTGAACATCGACAGACATAACCATTAAACATATCTTGACATGTACCCCCATTTTTGCAAGGGTTGCTAGTACACTCATCCTTATAGAGCAGGCTTTCAAGGCTGGATACTCTCCTTTGAAGAGCTGTTATTCTTCTATTTAATCTTCTTATGATAGTCATGTCTGTTGTTATATTACTGGAGTTTGCTACAACATACGTGGGCTCAGAAATCCTCTGTTCTAAGGTATCCAGCCTGTCGCTGTATAGTGACAAACTACGGTAATACTTTTCAGCTGCTTTTGTCATGTTGTGTGCCTAGAAACATGAAACATTTATTTCAATGACCCACTCTCGAGATTTACAGTGTGGTTCAGAAAAACGTAGTAATATTTATAGGGCAGAAAGTACATCCGAAAATGATAAAATATACTCAGTGAAGTGTTACACCCAGAAAAAAACATTTCTTCAACCCGATTTTTTTGCAATGAGGTAGTATTACATCAAGAATGAATCGGTAACATTCTCACAAAATTTCATTGACAAGAATTCAGAAAAAAAATTAATAATGTGTTGGGCGACCCAGCAACTGAAAACATTCCTGTATACGTCTAGGCATCGACACAATGAGATGACGTGTGGTTATGGCACCTCATTCCAAGTAACTCGAACTTCGTGGATTAGCTGTGGCAGAGTTTGTGGCGGATGCTACAAAGTAGATAGTTTCCTCCCCACATGTTCGATGGGATTTAAGTCCGGTGGCCGCGGCAAAACATTAACGCCTGCTTATTGAAAAAAGTCCGTAGTACTACGAGCAATATGAGGATGCTCTGTGGTATGCCTCGTTGGAACAGTTGCCCTTCTTCGTGTTCCTCTACCTTTTTCTGTCCACACACGCATTAGGGTCATTGCAGTGCAATTAACACGGCAACCGATTTCGCGATAGGACAAACCAACATCTCGATAGGCAATAATTCTACCGCTGACAAAGTCGCTAACATGCTGATAATTTGAACGTCATCGAGTTCGAGGCATTTTGTGATGCTTAGCACTAGTAAATGAAAGGGCCATAACTAAAAATATCAGTACTACTCAGCTCTCAGAAACTGCGTTCTGCACAAAAACTAAGAGATAACATTTTAGCAAATGCCTGTCATATTGAGAAAATGATTCTCATTTATGATTCCTCTGTTCAAGTACAAACGACAACACTTCAGTATTTAAAATTAAAATTTTCAGAAATAGTTAATCTGGCATCTAAGATATTATATACAATTTGATACAAAATGGTTAAAGAATTATATTGTCGTCTTGGGTCCAGACCCTCTAATTCAAATTTAAAAGTAAGAGTATTAAGATATGCTCAACAAAAGACAAAAATGAGTCAGATACAACTCCCAGATTTTTAGTTTTTTGACAACGCGAAAGTACCTCATCGCCTATAGTGTAGTCGAAGACAAACGGACTTTTCCTTCTGGTGAAAATTACTTCGTTACACTTTTTACATTCAAACTAAGTTTGTTTACATGACACCAACTCTGAATATTATCCAATACCATCTGTGAGGTATGACAGTCCTCCATACTTGTAATAGAATTTTCAAATCGTTAGCATAAAGAAGTTTGTTGCAATTGAGTGTCACGCATGTCGTTTATAAATAATGTAAAAAGCAGTGGACAAAGATTTGATCCCTGCGGAACCCCCGATATGCAAGCATATTAATAAGAGTGGTAACCATTATATGAAACCTGCCTTCTGTTAGATATATATATATATATATATATATATATATATATAACTCAAATATCTTTCTTCAACGAAAATGTTTTTAAAAAGATTTATTTTTGAGAAAGACCAAATACAATGATGTTAATTGAATGAGTTCTGAATCGAGACTGACTGCAAAGTTCATTATACAAACCAAAGTAAAGAACAAATGAAATACAATACTGTAACTGATAAGAAAGGAACGTGGAGGCAAAAGTCCTTGTTCAGCATATTCTTCTCTGTAGACTGGTACATAACTCCTCCACCCCTAGAATGAAGCTTCCCCTGGAAGGTGAATTTCTTTCTTCTTATATCTTGAACTGGAATCTTCTCTTCTAGTGCGTTTTGTGGGACTTGGACCTTCTTCTTTCATCTCGGCTAATTCAATGTCGATTTCTAACTTGGATGCTTTCTTGTTTCTCCATCTTCTATATAAAATTATGCAGCAGATGCTTGAAAATACGAGATATAGTAATATGGTCCAAATACTGGGTTTTCCAAAATTTTCTATGGAATTTTCTTCTAAAATTGGTAACATTCGATTAACTTGTAATTCTGGTAAATTTAACGTTTTCAGAGTAATTTGTGTCTCTGGGATATTTTGTTTAATAAAATGGAAATCCATTTTGTCAGCTACGAGGGGCTTTCCATAGGTTTTGTCTTGAAAGATAAGTTCATTGTCTTGGAATGATATTTGGCATTCACTGGCTTTGACTAAGAAAATGCCAATAATGACTTTGTATCGATTTGTTCCTTGCATTTAATTTTCAATTTTTCTTCGGTGAGAAATACAGCTAAATACTGGTTAATTTCGGGAATAAATTCAATGTGATTTTCTTCGATCTGAAGCTTCGTGTATCTACATGGTTCTGTATGATCTTCTGTAATTATCGACTTCTCGCATTGGGCTTTGTGATTGGCTAATATACGATTAGGGCATTGATAGATTCTACCTTGGGTACAAATCTCGTGCAGGGGTTTGATCTCATTTCGATCAGATTTTAGCAAATACTTATAATTTGGGATAATAGTGACGAATTCTGATTTGTGCATCAGAGTCGGTATAGGTAACATATAATAAAGATCGAAATGTTCAGGATAATCTATAGGAATAGATAGAAAATAACTTATTTGATTCTCATCGATTTTACAACTGATAGAAATAATAGATTCATAATCTAGCATATTTTCATACTTTACTTCAAATGGTAATTCATTTTTATAAAATGTGGATATCTTACGGAGTTCTTGAAATAATTCTCTAGTCTTTATTATACTGGGATGCATGGTTTTCAATTTGCAAAAAGTTATCGAATTTTCGATATCTTGTAAAATATTCAATATGGCATTATAAAGGATAATTAATTGATTGATAATGTCCTTCGCTGAAAGAATATCCTGGTTTGTTGTCTGGTTCAATAAAATATGTTTCAATTGTAAAATGTTATTTCTTAATGTCATCTCATTGTGCTGTATCTTGAATAGTCCCGTTAAATTTTGCGACAAGTTCATTATTTACTGAATATTGCATTCTCAGCTGATTTTGAATATGGTGCTGATTTTCTTGTAAATGAGATAAAATTTTATCAATACGTTCTCCATCGTCGGAGTCTAAATTTCCTGTTATTGTTTTTACTACATAGCCTATGCCATTAAAAAGTCCTCTCTTATTGCGAGTCTTTTGAGAATGAGATTTAATGTATTCGATTTTCTCTTGAATCAAGCTCCTTATATAAGATACTATCTTACTATAATTTTCTAGCTCGTTATTAATCTTAGAATGGTTTCTGTAACTATAGTTAAGATTACTGTATTGAATATTCAAATCTTCATATTCCTTATATAAAGGTGATAGATCATAATAGTGCACAAAAGTATGTTTTGTCTTTTGTAGCCTAGCTGTGCCTAAATTTACTGGCAAAATTCCTAAATTGTTCGTTATGTTTCTTATTTCTGCTCCGCATCCGAAATAGATGAGGTATCTGAAATATTAGTAAATTTAAATTGGTAAGTTTTCTTCCTGGGCCTTTTAATATTGGATAAATGGATATTTTTGGAAGTATTGGCATGTGTGGGATCTATCTCCGCTCTTTTTAATTTCTTATCTATACTAATTAATTTTTCTTGCTTATATACTTATTTTTAGTTTTATGTTGCTTCTGCTTATTCTTAACATATACCTTGTTAGGAATATCAGGCAAAACTTCACGTTTCTCATTTGCTTTATTTATAACTTTTTCTTTATTCTGTAATATCTTTTCATTTAAATTCCTATATACTAATTTCATTTTTTCCTTATGATTCTGTAAATAATTATTTAATAATTGCTTATCTATGTCTATATTAAAAGGTGATTCTGTATTGAAATGACCAGTAATCACTTCATAGGGTTTAAGATTGGTTACAGAATGTATTGTGTTATTATAAGCTAAAATAGCGTAATTTACCTTAGTTTCTATAGGTTCGTTCTTGTACTCTACCTGATTATTCAATAATCTTAAATGTTCTATGAGCGTTGAGTGGAAACGTTCTACGGTTCCGTTAGATTCTGGGTGCTGTGAACTAATAAAATGTATTTTGACTTTATGCAATTCTAAAAGTTCTTTGACTACTGAATTTTTTAATTCTGTGCCATTGTCGAAAATCATTTGATCTGGTATACAGTGATGTGTAAAATATCTTATAAAATTATTTGTTACCTCTACTCCATTGGCAGAGTTCAACATGTAAGCCTGACCGTACTTTGAAAATGAATCGGTCATAGTCAAAAATTTTGCATTTTCTAAAGAAATAGTGTCTACGTATAAAATTTGGAATGGTTGCGTAGGCTTTTCTATATTAGAATGAACGGTGTGTCCTGATGAATCATTTTCATTTTCATCAATTTTATCTAAATCATTGGGTTGAGGTGCGATCGAATAGTTATCGGTCTGATTGGGAATATTGGAAATATTCGATGGATTTTCAAGATTTCTATTAAATTCTTTCATATATTGTGCCAGTGGAGTCGGTGCTCCTGTTTCATTAACATTTACTTCTATTCTAGATAAAAAGTCCGCATTTGTGTTTGATTTGCCTTTCCTGTAAACAATGTCAAAATCATGTTCTTCTAATCTTAAGCGCCATCTTAATAATTTTGAACTAGCATCTCTAACTGAAAATAACCATTGGAGGCTTTTGTGATCTGTTACAATAGTAAACTTACGTCCGAAAATATAAGGTCTGAAATATTTTACTGCATATACGATACTTAGAAGTTCTTTTTCTGTCGTGCTATACTTTGTTTCTGAATCACTTAATGTTCGTGAGGCGTACGCTATTGGTAAATCTGAGCCTAATTTACCTTGGGATAATATTGCGCCGATTGCATAATTACTTGCATCCGTAGTTATCAAGAATGGTTTGGAAAAATCCGGATATTGGAGTATCGGATCGTTTGTCAATAAAGTCTTGCATAATTCGAAACATTTAATATAATCTGCGTCATTGGGATTAATAATTGCATCTTTTTTCAATCTGATTGTCAATGGCTTAGTGATTTTCGCAAAATCTTTTATAAACTTACGGTAATAACCTAAAAGTCCAAGGAAGCCTTTAATTTGCTTCTTAGTTTTTGGTATTTTAAATTCTGTGATTGCCTTTATCTTATCGGGGTTTGGTTTCACACCATCCGCCGTTACAACATGACCTAAATACGATACTTCTTTTCTAAGAAATTCCGATTTGTCTAACTGTATTTTAAAATTTGACTGACGTAACCTTTCAAAAACTTCTCTAAGTCGAGAAATATGTTCCTGTAAACTAGTACTGAATATTATAATGTCATCTAAATATACTAAGCATTTTTCATTTTGAATACCTCTCATTATGTTATCCATTACTCGCTGGAAAGTCGCTGGCGCGTTTTTTAGTCCAAATGGCATTCTTGTGAACTCGTAGTGTCCATTTTCTGTATTAAATGCAGTTTTTTGAATATCATCTTCTGCCATTTCTATTTGGTGAAAACCTGAAGCTAAGTCTAATGTTGAAAAATATTGGAATCGCCCTAATTTATCTAACAAATCTGTTATGTTTGGAAGAGGATAACGATCTCCCAATGTTTTTTCATTCAATTTTCTATAATCAATGACTATTCTCCATTTTTGCTTTCCCGATGCGTCTAATTTTTTTGGAACAATCCATATAGGTGAGCACCACGCTGAATGGCTCTCTCTAATAATTTTTTGATCAAGCATTGATTGTATTTGTCTTTGTACCTCTTTTCGGTGGATTTCAGGATATCTGTATGATTTAGTGTAAATGGGTATTTCATCGCTTGTACGTATATGATGCTTAATTTTGCTCGTAAAAGTTAAGTAATTACCATCTATGTGAAATATGTCTGAATACTCTTTTACTAACTTGGTGATTGCGTCTTTTTCTTCAGAGTTCATATGCTCTGTCCTAATTTTGGAAATATCAAATTTATATTTTTGAAAGTTCAAAGAATTAATATTCGGTGGATCAGAATTTTCTGAAACTTCGTAATTTTCAAAATTTTCTACATCTATTGGTCGAGATATGTCAAGAGAAATCTGTTCTTCAGATAAATTTAATACTGTGCAAATTGCTTCGTGATTTTTCACTGTAGTAAGACATTCAGGGATTTCTAAACATGATAATTTTCTGTATGGAATAATAGCATTACCATTTTTTAAATTTTTTATGTTAACTTTAATTATCTGTTCTGTTCTAGGTGGAACAGTGATAACATTAGAAGAATTTTTTGTAATCTCGTGATATTGCATGGGTATCCTTGTTGTGGGTGTGACTAAAAGATCATTGCTCAAATCAATGTTGGCATTCAATATCTCTTTCAGGTTATCGAGTCCTAAAAGGCATTGGAAATGTTCGTGAAACTTGAATAAATGAAATTTCATGAGAATATTTGGATTCTTAAAAATCTTTGGACAAGGTATTGTCATACTATATTGTTCGATAGATGAACCATGTGCTGAAGTGATTTGAAATGGGTCTTTTTGAATATGTCTTGAAAATAATTTTTTCGCAATTTCAGGGTGTATGAAAGATTTTGTACTTCCAGTGTCAATCAATACTTTGAGATTATACTCCGGAAATACAATGTATGGTAGTTTGCTACATTTGTCGGTTAAACTCATAATTTCTATTGACTTGGGTGGTCCGTTGAGACTTGTGGTTGTATCTGTACCGAGGCTTCTTGCCCTAAAAAATTGTCAGAATTATCCTGAGAATAAGCGCATTCATAATTGTCATCATTTGGAAATTCTACAACAGGTTAGTCTTGTACACACAAGTTAAACATAGCCTGTTCTGCGTTGACACCAGGTCTGTTAAAATTTCTACCTTGAAAATTTGGTTGCTGATACGTCTGTCTAGTGGATGTACTCATCGGAGTAGGCCTTGGCAGATTATTGATCTGATTAGGTCTAAAAACGTTATTATTATGAAAATTCGTTCTATTCTGATTAGGATTATTTGGTCGTACATTATTAGGACTAAATTGTCTTTGTAATACTGGACGCTGTACCGCTTGGTATTGATTCCTATAATTACTAAAGTTGTTGTTCATATGGCGAACTAATTGCATATTATTTCGATTAACATTTTTATGTTTATCTACCTTATGATCAAGCTGAAAGTCGTTAGTTGATATATATTCAGAGCTTCATTCAAGTCTGTAGGATTTTTCGTCCTCATGAGCGATCCTAGAGGTTCCTTTAAACCTTTTAGAAATACTCTTAATGCTACGCTTTTGCAAAAATTACATATTATCTGAGCTTCTTCACTCACACAATGTGTAGTTAAAAATGATATTTGTAAATTCAATAAACTCTGAACTTTGTTATAAAATTCAAAGGGGGTTTCATTGTTCTGTTTTAATTCACACATTTCTATATTTAGAGTAAATACGTCACGCTTGTCTTGATATGTAGTATTTAAAAGTGCAGTTTTCAAGTCTGTCCAATTTTTTATAATATTGCTACTAATATTTAAAGCTGCATTACCTTTGATTTTCGCTAAAATACTACTCATAAGATATTCGTTCTGGAAGTCATTTTCATCCTCTAATCTATAAAATTTATTCACTAACTTTTCGCAAATATCTATGAATCTTGGTAATAATTCTTGTTGACCATAAAATTCGGGTATCATGTTAAGATACTCTGGGCGTAATGACATGTTTGATTGATTTACTTGACTGTTGTTCATATTGACTGTACTATTTAGTATACTAGGTCTTAATTGCAAATTCCTTAAACTATGTTGGATATGTTCCGTATCCGACTGTGAGTCCGAATCAGTGTCACTCAATATATCATCAAACAGCTTTTGATTGTTTTCACCCCTGTAAGACATTCGTACTTACAGTAATAATCCAATCCGTCCCATGTGTCCGTATGCCTGGGCCACTGCTGGGTTGCCTGTCCTGGAGCAGATGTTCCTTCTGTCCTCTGGGCTGCTGTCGTCTTGGTTTCTCGATTTGGGTAGGGTTCTATCCCAAATCTGGTTCCGGTGAACACGGTAACGATATCGATATTCCGTCGGATCGTTCGCGACCAATCGCGGTTGGTTTCGTTATAGCCAGTAAACCGTTGAAACGAACCGAAAATGTCCCTTTTTCGTCTGGCTATCCTGCTGGATTGACTGCGCCACTCAAATATCTTTCTTCAACGAAAACGTTTTTAAAAAGATTTATTTTTGAGAAAGACCAAATACAATGATGTTAATTGAATGAGTTCTGAATCGAGACTGACTGCAAAGTTCATTATACAAACCAAAGTAAAGAACAAATGAAATACAATACTGTAACTGATAAGAAAGGAACGTGGAGGCAAAAGTCCTTGTTCAGCATATTCTTCTCTGTAGACTGGTACATAACTTATATATATATATATATATATATATATAGGGTGTTTGGGAAATCATATTCGTAACTTTAAGAGGTGATTCCTTTCATTATTCTAAACAAAAAAGTTCATTATAACCTATGTCCGAAAATCAACCGTTTCGGAGCAAAAAAATGCTGAACTTATTTCTTTTTAGTCATGAAGTAAATTAATTTTGCACCTTAATAATTTAAATTCATATGCCTAATAACGTAAAATGTATCAATACATCTATTTATTAATTAACTGTTTCTAACAAAATAATTTTCTTGCTTATTAAATACAATTTTCCGAAGAAAGCCAGACAAACAAAATCCCTCACATAACTGACAATGTCGTACTCCGCCTGCACTGCATGTATCGTCGCGTGTTGTTGTGATTACTAATACATTTAACTGTGAGTTTATGTAATTTACGGATGTTGTTTTTTTTTTCTTTTTTCGTGCATCGCATCGTTTCAAATAAGTGACTGAGAATCGTGGGAATTGGTGGTGTCTATCGCCACGTACCGGTAAGTTCTGTCATTTTTTAAGTAAATGTACTGTACTGAAACCGTTATTAAATAAAAAATATTAGCCACAAACAATTGCGTAAAAGTATTCAGTATTTCAAAGCATATTTTCAACAACAAAAAAACAATTCGATGAATCAGTTGCGGTCGTCATGCGCGCGTATCGCGTTTGCGTTGCAGCGTTGCCAAATGTTTAATTATTTACGACTCACTTTTCTCGAAAACGATTGATTGTCGGACATAAGTTATAATGAACTTTTTTGCCTAGAATAATGCAAGGAATCATCTCTTAAAGTTACGAATATGATTTCCCTAACACCCTGTATGTGTATGACTCAAAAAATAGCAAAGCTGAACGATCTAAGCCGTAATTTTTAAGTTTGTTTATAAGAACTGCATGACCCAGCCTGTCAGAGGTTTTAGCAATGTCGGTATATACAACATCTAGTTGGTCACGTTTATCAACACAATCTGATACAAATACATACAGCTCGATAATAAAATTTGAAGCCCGTGCTCGGAATTTAGAAATTTTACGGCAATACTTATTCTGTCTATTCACAGATACTTACCTTGTCTAAGGTTACTAACAAATCCATATTATTCACAAAAACTCCAGACGGGGACTTGAAGGTTATATTCTTGAAAGGTGGAGCTATAAACATTAGATGACCATCCTTAACAGATATCCGGGGCCTGAAAAGAAAAATATAGTTTTTCTGCAATTGACCGAAAGTTTAATAACTTGTATGGGTAAAATTTATTGTCTGTTGAGCGCGTAAATCCCGAAGTAGCCAGTCCACGAGTGCTTTGGGTGTTGCCAAGTGCTACAAAACTGCTATTTGTCTATTTTCCCGATAGCGATTACGGCGACTATTAGACACAGATCCAGCTTCTTCAGATTTTCTTATCAACTTAGCCACATTAATATTTTTGTCTGGGTGTAATGCTTTAAAAAACCGGGCAGTAGCTCTTGCAATGCTCCCATTTTGGTAATAGAGTTTTGTCATTTCTATCGTTTCTTGAGTTGTAGAATAAATCATTGTTCAACATTTATCACAACTAGGTAGGTAACTTAAAAATTTGCTAAATGTTTTTGCTGGTATTAATGATTATCATTTTTCGCCGTGCATTCCATTATTATCAGTATTAATTTAAGTTAGTCGAATTTTACTATAAATTCAAATAGGTTCACAACGATTGAAGATAGGTATAAGCTTTATTATACAAAAGTTACCTAAAACTTCATGGGAAATCTAAGAATACAAAAAATGGGGATTCCATTTAAAATCTAAAGTGTAACTCAGTATCACCCTGTATTATACGGCTATAGATGAAAAGAAGTCCCCCTAGAAATCAAAATTGACGTGTCCAAGCGTTTGTCCCAAAATATACCAGAAGAGTTGGGCCACCCTGTATGTACCTACTTACATCCAGAGAAACCACACACTGAGGAGCAAAAATTGAAGGTCGGTCACTTGAATTTCCTATATCACCGATAAATTCAGGCGGGAAATTTAAGCATTAATAAAGCTTGTCACCAATTCAATGTTCCTAAAACTACAATCATAGATCGAATGAAAGGGAGATCAACCGGGAATAAACAAAAAACTGGTCCTGAGAAAAAAATCCAAGTGCCATATCTTCACCTGCATGGAGGATGCATTACAATGAAAAAGCTAATGCGAAAAAAGAAAACTCGAGGAGGCTAAATCAAGAAGGAAAGAAAAATTAAAAGCTAAAGAAGAACAAAAAAATAAAATAAAAAATAGTGGACGACAATATAAAAAAGTACAGCGTGAAACTAGTGAAGAAATAAGCGAAGATGTACAGGCAAGTAAAAGTAAGCCATTTAAGTGTTCCAGTTGCAATGAAAACCTGATCAGTGATATCGAGGATGATGATGAGAAAAATATTGACTGTGATGAATGTCCCAGATGGTACCATATGAAATGCACAGATTCTACAGAATGTCATATGAAGAAGCATCTACCAAAGATTATGTTTGTTTTATTTGTTCCTAATTAATAATTTTATTTTAGTTTTAGTTTTTGTTTGTTTAAAAGCTTTTCAATGAGGTTTGTTCTATTTCTTATTTATTCTATGAGATAAATTTTATTTTTCACCATGTTTTACATTTTTTCTAACTTTAGGTCAATAAACTATCTACCTAATCATAAGTAAACTCTGGTCAGAAACTGATCGGTTTCTCCAAAACTGTGGTCGAAAATCGATCCGTTTCTCGACTATAATGGTCGAAAATCGGTACGCATAGGGTCGAGATCAAGAAGTAGGTGGTCGAAAACAGGTGAAAATTCATGTTTTATTTAATTTCATTACGTAAAATTCTCAGGTGGTCTATTTAAAATAATTCGTTTAGTTCATACTTAGACAGAGTTTCAAGCTTTCTTATGATGACAAGCTGATTCAAGGCAAATTATTTTTACGGAATTGTATGGTGTTTGAAGTTGAAGCTTAGGTTAAATGGTCGAAAACCGGCGCAGTGGCCCTCTCCCTGCCGCCACTAGACTGATTTTTAAAACCCGTAAAGCTGTGGTATATCAGTAACCTCATGCTGAAATTTAATCAAAATGCGAGCGGTAATTCTCAATTTATAGACGGGCCAAGGATTACCAGACAGACAGACCGACGAAAATAAGTGATGTAGTTTTTCGTGATGTAGATGTCATATGCGACCTAAAATGCATATCTCATGTTCGAAGTTATTTGCGATTATAATACTTTCTCGCCTCTGGCGTGGAAATTAAAAAGGCTTTCAAATAGAGAAGTAGAAATTTTCAATTTCGTAAACTTATTAGGCATAATTTTGGTATGTACTACCGAGGTAGCTGCAACGTCAGAAAATCAGTGTACTCAATATCGGTGGTTTAATTTGTTGCCCAGTGTAAGATGGATAGATATTTACGTAACTAGTTACGCCTACTTGCAGAATGACTTATATAATGTCGGCATCAAACGCTGAAATCCGTCATTCCCTGAAATGCCTAGTCAGCCGCAGTATTGCCTGCAAACACCGCAACAGTTTGATTATTACAACGTTTGATCAAGCATTTCAGTTATTCCCTGTAATGACTGAACAATTGCTTTCTGACACATCATGGCGACAGAGGCATACTAACTACGAGCCCCTTCCCATTTCAGTTGGCCCAACCATTGAAATCTTAGTTTTTTCTTATCAAACACAAATAATAAAAATGTAGCAGGGTGTTATAGGTTTAAAATATTAACAATAAATATTTTGATAATATATAGTAGAAAACACCAACTTTATCACTCCCTAATCAAATTTGCAGCATAAAAATAACACATGTTGCAATTACAGCATATCAACCTATTTTCATTTCAATGCAAAATAAGTCTATAACGCATAGGTGGCTGTGAAAAATAAAAGCCATGACAATTGTTTTTATTAATCACAGCTGTCAGAATACGTTTAAAATAGTTTTGGGTAGTTAAGGATTTCAAAATGGGTAGAGGAAAGGTTATTAGTGAGAAAATTCGGTTACTGATAATTAAATTTTTCAATTCTGAGAAATCAAACTCAGAAATTGCAACTTTGTTAGACTTATCGCGGTACAGTGTGAGAAGTTAAGTGTCCAGTTAATATTAAGCCACGATATGTGAAAAAAAGTAATGTCACAAATGCCGACCGAAGAGCATTACGAAGAATAATCGTGAAAAACAGGCGTGCCAATTACTTACAATTAAGTGCTGTAAGGAGTGACGCTGTTGGAAGGAGAATTTCGAGGTCCACAACTCATAGAGACGCTCACAAACTGGGATTTAGCACTTGCAAGGTAAGTTTTCTTATAAAAAAAAGTGAAACAAAAACCCTAAAGTTGCACTACTTCTTTATAGGCCAAAGAAAAGCCACTATTAACTCCACTGCAAAAAAAAAATCGGCTTAGATGGGCTAAAGAATATAGACATATAGACAATGGACACCTCAACAATGGTGTGCAATACAATGGAGTGATGGTGTGTTGGTGACAGTCGCAGTAGAGTTATTCGCAAAAAAATGAAGCATTCCATGTTGACTGTCTGAAGAGAAAAGTGAAATTTCCAGCATCCATTATGGTCTGGGGCAGTATGTCATCAAAAGGAGTTGGAAAACTTCATTGTACTGATGGAAATGTGGATACAGATATTTGGCAAATTTCGAAGAATCGCTTTTACCAGTGATGGAAGAATGTTTTGACATCCGGCTAAGACTTTGTGTTTCAGCAAGATGGTGCAGCGTGCCATACATCAAAAAAGGCTATGACATGGATGGAAGAAAATAATGTACCACTTTTGAAATGGGTTTCTAGCACTCCAGATCTGTCACCTATTGAAACTTTGTTGCACGAGATGAAAAAGGTTCTACGACAACATCCTGCTCGTACAATCACCGAACTGAGACAAAAGCTCCAAGAAATATGGGATTTTTTACACCAAATTTTTGCCAAAACTTGGTTAACACTATGCCCCAAAGAATTTCAGCCGTAATAAAAAATAAAGGTGATGTTACCCAATCGTAATCTTTCAATTGTTGCTTTGTCAACTTCGCGCATTTATTCGCACATTGTTTATTTGTTCAGATGTTCTATTAGTTATAGGTCTAAGTGATTTCAAATATGTATTTTTTACGACTAGCGTGTATCTAAAACGTTTTTGAGAAAATAAATTGTTTTAAAAGTAAATAGTTTCATCATGTTTAGTTTATAAAGGCATATTTTGGTACAAATCTTGAAGTGGGCCAACTGAAGTGGGAAGGGACTCGTATACTAAGTGACATATAAATCCGAACACCCAGTTTAAATGGTTTTATTTTAATAAAAGTTGGTGAATGTATTTATCTTACTGTAAATAACAAGTGAACAAATTTTCAGCCTTATCAGTTGGACATTCCGGTTTCCATACTGCTTTTTTTAAATTCACTAACGCTCTAAAAATGAATATTTCAGCCGCAGTAAAGAATCAACGTTGGCGGATTTTGGTTCTTGACATCCTTTACGATCGGTTACGATGCCTAGAGTATGGAGACCTGTACGATTTCGTCAACTTAGTGAGTTTGATAGGGGCCGTATAGTGGGACTTCGGGAAGCTGGACTTTCTTTTCGGGCAATTGCAGTTAGAGTGCAAAGAAGTGTAGACACTGTGGTTAGGTGTTGTCAGGCATGGCTTCGAGAAGGCCGTACGCAAAGAGCAAGGGGCACTGGATGCCGCCGTAGAACAACAGACCGTGAAGATCGCCGCCTAAGATTATTGGCCTTCAGGGACCGTTTTTCCACCACCAGGTCCATTGCAAATGAATGGTTTGCAGAACACGGAAGACCTATTGGCATGCAAAGTGTTTACCGACGAATGAGAAGTTTTGGCTTGTTTTCATACCGGCCACACTGGGTCCTCCCTTTAACTCGAGAACACCGACGTAATCGCCTTGAGTGGTGCAGACAACGGTCACTCTGGGATCAGGAATGGAACAGTATTGTCTTTAGTGACGAGTCTCGATTTTGTTTAGGCATGCACGATGGTCGTGCCAGGGTTAGAAGGCGACGTGGTGAAAGGAGGAATCCACAGTTTTTTTTTTGAAAGACATGTTCATCACACTGTTGGAGTTATGGTTTGGGGTGCTATAGCTTATGGTTCCAGGTCACCTTTAATCTTCATCAGAGGTAACATGAACGCGCAGCG